TGCTTGAACCGTGTAGTACATTCTTGCCGCTGGCGATTTTTGCTTGTGATCACTTATTGGGGAACACCGCCACCCCGTGGCGGTGTTACCCCAATTGAGGTTGCGGTGTTTCCTGTTCGTAGCGTGATAAGTGATGAAATTCCAAAGACACGCTTTATTTATGTTCGTAGATGTTCCTAAGTCGGGAATAAGCAGCTTATTTGACTTTTTACTTTATATTTTTCATGCATCCAGACCAAGCACTTGCCAGCTGTATAAAACTGGCAAACAGCTGATGAACCTATACCTATTTAGGTGTCCATTACCGATTATTTGCGAAAATTACCACTTACCGACAGGAAACTCATCGCACGCGATCTCTGAACAATTAAAAGCTTTCGTAGGGATGGGTTGGGTTAACATCAACACCGGTGGCGGGGTTACCCACACAATTTGTAGGCGGCAAATATGCAAGGTGTTTTTAAAAGTCGTGATACATGAAAACCTTTTAGGAGCATGCAAAATAAGTAGGGGAAGTTGGGGGAACGCCGAAGACTTTTTTCTGACGCCCGTAGCACGCAAGGTAGACAACATAAGCTATTCTTGTTGGCGTCATTCGAGAGGCCAGTCTTTTGCCTTTCAAACATACCAGGCGCATTTGATGAATTCGCATACCGTTAAGCGCACAAACTAAAAATATCAAAGAAGTGACTTTTTCGGCGTTGCCCTGGACTGCGGGGAAAGCCGAAAATGGGAGAAATGATCTACGGGGAATGCCGACATTGATGTTTTGCCATTTTATCTCAAACTTTATCCAGAATTAATCAAAGCTGACACGCGTTTTAAGAGCTTGAGGACGCGGTGCACACTGGAAGTTATAATTGTGTGATATAATAAGAACATGCCAGGTAAATCATTCCTTATAGGTAACAGGCCGTTGTGTCGGTTGAAAGTGTAATTTGTGTGACTAAAAATACGCGTTGCTATTCTACAGCAGTAAAGTCCACGTAGCGTGCTTTTAACACGTGCGTAATCGCACGTTTTCGGCATTACCCCAGCCTGCCATACTTTCATTTGCAGGCCCATAACTTTTCAACGTGCTGTATACAGGGGCGCACCCAGGATTTTCCAGGGGAGGGGGCCCGGGCTCAAAGGGGCCTCCGTGTTCCGCTTGCCAGGGGGCCTTTTCTCTATCGAGGGGGCCTCCAAATGGCTTACTTTTTGACGGCCTCTGTATGTTTGGTGACGTTCTTAGCGTTATTAGTAAAGCTTAACCCTCACCCTGGCAGGGGGGTCGATGCGACCCCCCCCCTAAGGTTTTTCAAAGATAGCGTAAAATTGGCGGCGCGCAACGCCGCTAAATTTGGCACAACCTATGGGGCAACCTTTTTTCATGTGATCTGCAAATTTCAGGTCCGGTCGACCTTGGGTCAGGCCACCATGTCAGAAAAACGGGTACAAGGTTATGGTCAAATTTAATTTTTTATGTACCTGTCCAACGCACAGTTTTGGACTGATTTCCTTCAAACTTTCAGGATGTGCTAAGTTCACCGAGCTGTATAATATGTAGTTCGTTTTTTATGTCACTGACCTGAGGTCAGTTAGGGGTCATTACGTCGTAATGTTAAGCCTATGGGAAAATATTCAAATAACTCCTATTCGGAAAATATAGAGATGTCCGCTTCGTTGTATCCCTTTTGTTCTTTGATACCACAGTACTTAACATAATGTCACTCGGTGTTTCTTTGTTTGGTGTACTTATCTAAGGTTCAGGTCAAATGAGGTCAACTCAGGTCAAATGACGTTTGTGCCGATAACTTGTCACATAATAGAACAGGTTTCAAAATGGTATCATTCTGTTCCTCTTGAACAGCTGAGTCGAATGATATGCAACATTAAGCATTTCAACCATTCCTAAGACTTAAGTTTTACTTAAGTTGTGCACTTAAGTAGGTACACTTTAATACCTACACTTTTAAGTACACTTAAGCAAACAAAAAAAGTATATCATTCGACACGCCTTGACGTGCTGAGTTCGCTGGTGCTTTTGTTTTGCTCTATCTTAACCCGCGCCGGGCCGGGGGGTGTTTGAACACCCCCCCCCCCCCGGCGGCTTTTCGCAGCTCCGCGCCGCCGTTTTTAACACACCTGTTCGTGCATCTTTTCCGCACATGCTGTGAAAATTTCAGACCCAGGTCTCTCAAGGTCAGGTCAGAAACAAATTAGAATGTTCGTCATGGCTACACCGACCGCACGATTGCCTTGAAACTTTCAGCGATTGATGAGAGTAACAGTGTATCTCGTGTATCCTATAAAAGCGTGTATAAAAACCTATTAAACGTGTATCTCGGAATTTCGATATCGGTGACCTAAGGTCAGGTCAATTTTGCGGCCTCTCTATTATAATTCAATGGGAGAAAATTGAAAGGCGTCTGTTTTGCACGAACGCCATTCTAGACACTCTCAAACATCGGGATGTAGGTAAAATGGACACACTGAACCCGAAAATTGCACCTGTGACCCGGAGTGTGACCCCTCGTTCTGAGATGTCCCCGAGGTCATCTCAGGTCACGAATAGTATCTAACAGTTTTTTGCTAATAACTTCTGATAGAGGCATGATAGAGCGATGAAAACGCCTTAGATGTGTTCGGCTCGACGATGCGGATCGACTGATATGCAACATGACCTTTTCCGGTCAGGTCCTGAGGTCAAATTTTTAAGTTGACTTTTCAAGGTCAACTTATAGTTCATTCGACGCGTTTTGACAAGAGGAACACGATTCTGGCAAAAGTAATGTCGTGGCTTTTTTGAGTCAGAAGTTATTGCCGAAAAACACTGTTCGTAAAAAACGGCTATTTTTGGAGTTTTTGCCCTCTGGAGGTTAAACCGTTGACCTGAGGTCAAATCTGAGGACATATTGGCGAAAGAGCGTCAAAAGAGCTATCGAATGCGCTTTTCCGCGGCGCTGTAGCTCTATCGGTTCCCGAGTTAGCCGTTGGCAGTTTCCAAAATGTTGAAATAGCCAACATTTTACCTTTGGTGACCTCTGGTAACCTGACCTTTGACCTGACCCAAAAAATGACTGAAGTGTTTTCGTACTTATTTTGGACGCTCTTTTGAATGCCGCTTACCGCGTGTCGCTACGTGACCCAGGAGCCGAGTTAGAAGGGGGGTTTTCAGACACCCCCCCCGGCCCGGCGCGGAAGTCGCGGAGCACCTGCCCGGCGCGGGTTAATTAGATCAAAAGTTATCAGCGAAAACTTTTGACCTGTTTTAGCAAATTTTTTACAATTATACCTCCCAAAAACCCCTAAATATTGACCTAGAGCAACCAAATTTTCACAGGGACGAGGGTTTTAAGAGGGCCACCTACCTACCAAATTTGGTATTTCTAGGTGCCATAGGATCCAATCGCGAGGGGGGTCGCATCGACCCCCCCCCCCTCTGCCAGGCCGCGTTATGAAAAATGCCCTGCCAGGGCGAGGCGCTGCCCGGATAGGACCTCTTGTGAAGAGGGGCCTCCTATCCAGAGATGGCCTCTTTCCCAGAGACGGTCTCCTTCCAGAGGGGATCCAGAGAGAGTCCTGCCAGAAGGGGCCTCTTGTGCAGAGGGAGCCTTCCATCAGGAGAGGGCATAAAGGGTCTCGTTCAAGAGGCCAGAGGGGCCTCCTGACTCCTGCCCAGAAAGGGCCCCTGTGCAGAGGAAGCCTCGGGGTCTCCTGCCCATAAAGGAGCTCCTGCCAGATGGGGCCTCCTGGCTCCTGCCTAGATAGGGCCCTCTGTGCAGAAGGGAGCGTCCCATCCAGAAGGGGCCTCCTAAGCATAAAAGGTCCTCTGCCAAAGGGGACTCCTGCCCATAAAGGGTCTCCTGCCAGAGGGGGCCTCCTGGCTCCTGCCCACAAAGGGCCTCCTGTGCAGAGGGAGTCTCGGGGCCTCCTGCCCATATAGGATCTCCTGCCAGAGGGGGCCTCCTGGCTCCTACCCAGATAGGACATTTTGTGCAGAGGGGGCCTCCTGACTGCTGCCAAGATATGTCCTCTTATGCAGAGAGAGACTCCCATCCAGAGAGGGCCTCCTGCCCAGAAAGGGTCTCCTGCAAGAGGCCAGAGGGCCCCCCTGACTCCGGCCCAGAAAGGGCCCCTAAGTAGAGGAAACCTCGGGGCCTCCTGCCCAGTATAAGATTTCCTGCCAGAGGGGGCCTCCTGCCCAGTATAAGATTTCCTGCCAGAGGGGGCCTCCTGGCTCCCACCCAGATAGGGCCATCTGTGCAGAAGGGAGCCTCCCATGCAGAAGGGGCCTACTAAGCAGAAAAGGTGTCCTGCCAGAGGGGCCTCCTGCCTATAAAGGCTTTCCTGCCAGAGGGGGCCTCCTGCTCCTGTCCAGAAAGGGCCTCCTGTGAAGAGCGAGCCTCGGGGGCCTCCTGCTCATGAATGATCTCCTGCCAGAGGGGGCCTCTTGATTCCTGCCCAGATAGGGCCTCTTGTGAGAGGTGCCTCAAATCCAGAAGGGGCCTCCTGTGCATAAAAGGTCCCCTGCCAGACGGGGCCTCCTGCCCATCAAGGGTCGCTTACCAGAGGGGGCCTCCTGTGCAGAGGGAGCCTCGGGGGCCTCCTGCCCATGAAGGATCTCCTGCCAGAGGGGGCCTCTTGATTCCTGCCCAGATAGGGCCTCCTGTGAGAAGGTGCCTCACATCCAGAAGGGGCCTCCTGCCCATCAAGGGTCGCCTACCAGAGGGGGCCTCCTGGCCTCTGCCCAGATAGTGCATCTTGTGCAGAATTATAGTAGGTTAGGCAGGAAAGTCAAGTGTAAAAGTACCCTAAGCGGTGCTCAGGGGGCCTCCTAATTATGACCGAGCGGGGGGGGCCCGGGCCCCAAGGCCCCCCCCCCCTTGGGTGCGCCACTGCCTAATACCTATCTATCAACGACTCCTTGCATTTCTAAAAACATTCTTTGCAGCGTTTTTATCAGCTGTTTAAAGTAGCGTAGCTATTATGGCGCATCTGTTTCGAAATCCTTGATCGCTTGGTTTGTTTGCTGTTGTTGCTGCTGTTGTTGGAGAAATTGAGAGAGGGGTTGAGTGCAAGGTTCTGACATTATATCGTTTTTACGTGGTTTTTACATGCATTATTTGGTGATTGTTCTTTAAACAAGTGAGTTATCAGCGCATATTTTTATATGATTCGTATCATATTCATCAACCTACAAGCCATGATGAATAGGAAAAAGCAGGGTGGACGCGGTGGACGTTCGGGGGAGGTGGTAATTAGAGGGCACGTATTTTGAGACAGCAACACAAATTGTGGCACTTTTTAATAATAGTATTTCAAATTCTTGTAGGTGGTAATTTATTAGATTTTGTACTCTGTTGGCTATAGTTTTTTAACACGTATTAATATTTTGTGGGCATTTCAGTTCAGTTGGGCAAACTAGGCTTCTGGAATCAAAATATGGAGGCATCAATATTTGATTCTGGTGGGAGGAGCCATGACCAAATATGGGCATGGAATCAATTTTTTGATTCATTTGGGTACGCTCTTGACTTCAAATGTATTGTTACAGTTGAAAAAAGGCCCATGATTGTGAGATTTTTCTTAAAATAGGTAGAAAAATGTGGTAGGCAGGGCTGCAGAGTCGATGGATTTTCAGCGACTCTGACTCCGACTCTGACTCCGGCTTTCAAAAACCAGCTCAGACTTCGACTCTGACTCCGGGCAAAATTGTTGATTCTGACCGACTCCAACTCCCGACTCAGACTCCACAGACCTAGCAGGGCTGTGGAGTCGACAGATTTTCGGTGACTGACTCCGACTCCAGCTCGGGTTTCTAAAATCGACTCCGACTCCGACTCCAGTCACAACTGTCGACTCCGACCGACTCCGACTCCGCAGCCCTGGTGGTAGGTACCTATGCAAAAAGTGTTACCTCTAAACAAAGAAATTGTCACTTTGGCGTTGAGAATGGGAAAAAGACATTCTCACTACCCTTTCACTGTCCATCACGTAAAAGCTGTTTTGGGAAAATCACACTGTATGTTGTCTTTGTATCATGAATTGCATACTTAGCAAGAAGTATTTGTTTAAAATAGCAAAATTGAATTTCTAAGCCCCTAATTTTCATTGTTGAAGTGTTTTTATACTTATTATATGGTTTTTACCTGTTGTGTCAACTTTTGTATTCTTGACATTTAAAAATTGTGAATTTTATCAAATTCAGAGAAGGTTAAGTACAACCACCCTATAGGTATCTGTTGTGGTGCTGAGGATACCACTAAATGAGAATGATAGCAAGATAAATGCTGTATTCTTGCAAGCCATTGTTGCCTATCTGTTAACATTACCTGTGAATCAAAATAATGATTAGCCAGCTGAGCTGAAATCAATATTTTGATTATCTGTTCAAACTTCAAAGTGAATCAAATCATTGATTGCCTTTCACTACCCTTTAGAATTCAGATTATTATGATTAAAGCAATATTTTTGCGGTCAGTAGCAGGGGCGGTTCTCCCATATAGGCAAGGTAGGCAGTGCCTACGTCATTTGTCGTCTCCCCTGTGTCTACACCCTCACTAGACTGTGGCTTTTGATTGTTTGATTGCTTTTGTTAAAGATCTTTTTCTTTTCGTTTTTCAAAATGGGTTGAAACGAAAGAGAATTGCCTAAACTTTTCAAAAAATGTCAAACAAAGATCGTGTTATAACAACAACTTGACAAAATCCTTTGCCTAATTGTGCCTACCTCGTCCTACTAGATTATCGACTATTGCCATGTTGAGGCTATTGAGCCTTTTGGTAGAAAAAGTTTAGATGGTCGGCACATCGACTAGGTGCTACCTTCTAACTTTCAAACTTAACTTTTTATTAAGTTCATTTATCATAAAATAAAACACATTTAACGTTATCAATTTTTATCATTAGTTTAGGGTACCTAGCGTTGTTATGTCTGTTGTGTTATTCTATTGTTTGTTAAAAATTATATTGGACGAATTAGACTCCTACTGGGAGACTAGCTTGCCTCTGGCGGCAGACGTGTAAGCTCTAGTTAAGTTAATGGTTTTTGTAGATGACGCTGCTGTCGCTGCTTGACGCATCCTGACTGAGCAATAAGGCTGTCTTTTCCCCCCTAGTTTACCTATTCCGTATTCAGCTTTTCTGCCTTACCTACCAAGTGCCTACCTACTTTCAATAGGTCAGTGCCGCCCCTGGTCAGTAGAGAGTTCCAACATTTCTGTTGAACATTAGGCATGTTCCTTCTCAAAACACTGGCTTATTTTTGATTGGTGATTTAGAAGTGGTCTACACTCATGCCGAAATATGGTCATGAAGAATCAATTTTTTGATGCCTCTCTTTTTTGATTCCAGAAGCCTAGTTTGCCCAACTGATTTCAGGGACGCACACTGCTGTGCAAGGCCCTAAATCTGCTGTGATTGCGAAATACGCCCCGCGGCCACCTCTCCCAAATGGTCACCAAAAACAGTTGTTGATACTTGATCCTGCTTCCTCAATTCAATCTTTCAAAACATTGGGAACTTGCAAGCTGCAACATTCTATTTCTAGAAGTATATAAAATCATAGAACACCTATGAATGTGATAAGTGCTCAGTCTCCAGTAATGCATAAATCATATATTATGATTTATGCATTCCTCTATCTTGACATATACCCATATTTTAAGTTCTTGTAGGCGGTCCCGGGCGGTGGACTGCTTTAAAAATAGGGAAACGATTTAAAACTACACTGGGCTTTACAATATCAAATCAAACCCTTTCCCAACAATATTGATTACGGAGCGAGCGAAGCGAGCGGAGTCTTTCCTTAGATTAACGGAAATTTCTGAGTATGAGCGGCCGGCCGGCCGGCCGGCCGGCCGTGCGGACGCTTTTGCGAGGCTTATATCTCAGCAACCACTTGACCGATTTACACGCGGTAATTTTTGTAGGGTAGCTTCATTCCTTCTACCAAGTATTGGACTATTCCCGATGCATGTGGGTGACCCCTTATGCACGTGCCACGTGCAAAACGAAGAGGTGTCAGTTTTGTAATTGTTGCAATATCTCGGTAACTACTTGGCCGATTGCGCTGAAAGTTGGCATGTAGGTAGGCACCCACTAGGCACTGCATATCCATGTGCCAGAGTTGGGGTGCTGCTGCACGTGCGCACGTGCAGGGGTCGTTTCCAGATCTCGAGAACGGCTGGACCCATGGCGCTCAAATTTGGTACACGGTTAGGGACCAGTTAGTAGGGTGCCGTGCACAAGTCAGTTGGGACCCATTTTGCACGTGCGCACGTGCAGGGTGCCGCTCCCAGATCTCGAGAACGGCTGGGCCGATTGTGCTCAAATTTGGCACATCGCTAGAGACCAGTTAGTAGGGTGCCGTGCACAATTCAGTTGGAGGTACCCCCTCGAAATTTCGCACGTGCAAGACTCACCCCCTCGCTCGCTCCGTTAGTCGCCCCAAAAGGCGCTATACTGGTACAATTATCAGGCAGTTTACTTCACAATCGATTTATATATTTTTAGCGTAATTTAACGGTTCTTCTTGTTTTGAATAATGCCTACATAGTAGCGTTTCCATATTTGGGTTTTTTGTTCCCAAATATGAGAACGAAAATGCGTTCTCAAAATGGGCACGCTTGACCAATGCGCCTACTGAATTGACAAAAGAAGTGGCAATGCGCCTTGTTAACAACTGGATGCATTGACCAGCTTGCCAGCTGGCGACGCACAATAGCCATTAATATACAGATATAAGCACGGTACTAGATGGACATAAACATGTAAAATGGCACTAAAAGAGAAATTAATAGATGTACGGCCCCAGAAGTGTAAATGCTTTTCATAGGCAACACCTGTTCTGATTGCAGGGGTAAACACCTCCCCCACCCCAGCAGGGTGTGGGAACCCAGGACCCCCAGTGGTCAGTGGGATGCAGGCTATGCAGTTATTTTTTTTTTGCAATTTTTACACAGCAATAAGGAGATATAATTTTTTTTTTTAAAGACGATGACAGCTCTCCAGCAATGTCTGATGATTTTAACCATTTCTGATTCAGATTCATTTATTAGCAAGTCCACAGCACGATGGCTTCTTATCATTGGTGACCGCCGCGCTCCACCAGCCAGCCGGACCCGGGCCGGTGTGGTGGTCGGTGATGGTCTCCGCCGCCCCTGTTGGCCTTTGTGACGTCGTGATCCTCCATCCCCCTGTCTAACCGTCCGTGACGTACCCACAGCCCACCGGACCGGCGGGCGGCCGGCCATGATGTCCGGGGAGTCGTACCAGGTGGTGGGGACGGCCAGCCTTGCCGAGCTGGAGGCCGCTCAGGTGGTGGTCTCCGCCCCGCCCGGCGCCGCCCCGCTCCACTACATCACCGACTCGACACACCCAGCGGACGCCGCCGCTACTCAGTGGTTCGTCGTCGAGGAGTGCTCGCAGGTCAGCCAGCAGTGTCGCTTTGGGATTTATTAGTTTGTGTTTCTTCTGACAATTTCAAATGCTGCTGTCAGTTTTATCCCAATCCTGGTGTATAACTTATGTTTGTGAAATGTTAGGGTTTGCAGTGACCCCAGTCCAGTACGCCCGGTGGCTGCTCCCACCCGTGTACTCCCTGTGACGGGCGCTGCTCGCTCAGGTGCTGACGCCAGCCGAGTCGGACTCAGCCGGCCGCCTGCAGCCCCCGCTGGCCACTCCGTCGTCGGGCGGCGAGCGGTGTCTGGTGTGCCGGGCCGCCCTGGCCGCCGGCTGGCCGGTGCAGACGTGTGTCACCAAGCACGGCCGTATCGGCTACCTGACCCTGCTGCTGGACATCCTGGTGCCGGACGGCGAGGTGGCCAGGTGAGGGGAGACGGGACGGACAGTGGTTAGTGGGGTAATATGGCGAGGCGAGACGGGACGGACTTTGGTTAGTGGGGTAATATGGCGAGGGGAGACGGGACGGACTTTGGTTAGTGGGGTAATATGGCGAGGGGAGACGGGACGGACTTTGGTTAGTGGGGTAATATGGCGAGGAGAGACGGGACGGACTTTGGTGTTAGTGGGGTAATATGGCGAGGGGAGACGGGAGAGACTGCGGTCAGTGGGGTGGCCTGGTTAGGGGAGGCTGTGGGGGGGGGGGGGAGTAGTCAGTGGGGCGGTCTGGTAAGGGAGATTCAGGGAGATGTTATGGTTTTACATTTAAGTCTACGTTAATAATGGTTCGATAGCAAATTAATTATCGTCGCGATTCCGCCGCCCCAGACGCACACGCGCACTCCCGATGTGAACTGTATTGAGTCCGGCTGACGACTGCACAACAATACTCTTTACTCAAGGACGCCGGAAGCTGCCGGGCGGCACAGCCTACCATCAGGCGCCGCGGCGGCTGGCAACAGCTGTCAGCTGACTGCGCCGGCATAGCTCGTGCCGGCTCAGTAGCACGCATCACAACACCTCCCCCCAGACGTGGGGGAGACAACACGTCTCAAGAACAAAAACGGTGCCTCCGACGAACACAAACGCACCAACGCGTGTCAGCGCACGATGGCTACACGAACTCGTACACTGGGTCCGACCAAGTCACAGTCAGCCTCTTAGGCTGTCGACGAAGTCGTTTGCTGCGCCTCACAGAGGCGTCAGGCGCGGGGGTCGCTCCACCAGGGCGGCTGCGGGGGACTTTGTCAGCGGCTGGGGTCCCGCTGTCGGCGGTCCTGGTTCGGGAGCTGGCCCGGCCGCTGTTGCCGTCTTCGGTGATGGCGTCTCGGCTGCCATCGGGTGACGTGGTCACCATCGGCCGCAGCGGGCGGAGGTATCGTCGATTCCGCCAGTAGGTGCGGCCGCTTGGCAGGCGAGCGAGGTAGTCTCGGCGGCTGCCGATGCCAACGACGACGCCTGTCCGGTCCCACAAACCAGTCTTCGGATCTTGCAGGAGAACCTGTTGACCGATGCGCAGAGGTCTCAGCGAGCGGGCGCTCGCGTCGTAGCGCTCTGCGGTCTGGGACTTCAGAGCGGCTGCTCTCTCATCACACTCCTCCGCCGCGCGCTGCCACACCTCGGCAAACGCTCGGTGGTGAGCTGGCACGGTAGAGCGCAGCGGGTGACCGTACAGAATCTGGGCCGGAGAGCGGCCATCGGCCCGAGGCGCGTTCCGCAGCTCCAAGGGGCCGTGCGCGAACGCGTCATTGTCCAGGTTGCCTCGGTCGCTGATCTTCTGCACGAGCCTCTTCACTGCCTTCACTGCAGATTCCGCATGCCCATTTGACTGAGGAAAATGCGGAGTGGAGATCTCGTGGGTCACTCCCCACCGTCGCAGAAAATCGCGGGTGTGACGGGCTGCGAACTGCGGCCCTCCGTCCGTTCGCAGAGTCTGGGGTGCCCCAGTGGCCGCGAAGGCGACCCTCAGGCTGGACACCAGGTCCTTCGCCGACGTCTCTCCAGAGCAGTGGAAGACGAACGGCCATCCAGAGAGGCGGTCTACGTGTACGAGATACGTTCGACCAGCCCACGAAAAATAGTCCGCTGAGACGGCCTCGAAGACTCGAGTCGGCACCGCCTCGGAGACTAGCGGTTCCTTTTGCTGGCTTGGGAGATAGATCTGGCAGGACTTGCACGCTCTGACGAAGTTGGCGATGTCCTGGTCAAGCCCGGGCCAGTAGACAACTTGTCTAGCCCGACGCTTGGTGCGCTCCACACCTTGATGGCTGGCGTGAAGCCGCTCGAGCGTCTCCCGACGCAGACTCTGAGGAATCAGGAGTCGCTGCCCGCATACCAACAGGCTGCCGTCCACGGCGAGACGGTCTCTAGCTGTCCAGTAGGGCCGCAGCGTCGGCTCCAGCTGCGACTTGTGGTCTGGAAAGCCAGCCAAGACCACGTCTCGGAGGGCGCTGAGCTCTGCATCACGCTCAGACGCCGCCCGGACCCTCTGCAGAGTAGCGTCCGGGAACAGTGAGTCGTCCTCGGTCGGATCAGCCGTGGTGATCCTGGCGATCAGGCTTGCGATCTGGTGGGCTTCCTCCTTCTCCGCCTCTTCGTCGTCTGGAGTCGGAGTATCCACCGGTGCCCGGGAGAGCGCATCCGGGATCGCGTGCAGTTTCCCTTGCCGCCACACAGCGACGAAGTTGAACGGCGTGAGACGTTGCCGTAGCCGTTGCAGTCGCGGGTTGTCGATGTCGATGAGGCTCTTGGAGTTCAGCACTGGAACGAGCGGTCGGTGGTCTGTGACCACCTCGAACTGCTGCATGCCCGAGAGGTACATGCTGCACTTCCGACAAGCCCATGCAACTGCCAGCATCTCAATCTCGCAGACGGCGTAGCGGGATTCCACATCGGTCAGGAAACGAGACCCACACTGGATCAGTTTCCATCGTCCATCTGCATCCTGTTGCCGCAGACAGAAACCCAGCCCTCGTAGGCGAGCTGCGTCGGTCTCCAGGACTATCCGGCGCCGCGGGTCAAAGAAGTCGAGGACTGGTGGCGAGACCAGCGCCTTCTTCACATCACTGAAGGCTTTGGAGTGCAGCGGCGTCCACACCCACTCGTTCTTCGGTCGCAGGAGGTGTCTCAGAGGCTCGGCGGCGGCCGAGACGTCTGGTGAGAAGTCACCCAGCTGGTTCACGAGACCGAGAAACGATCTGAGGTCCGTGAGACACGCCGGCTGCGGAAACTCCGCGATGGCTCGCACCTTCTTGTTGTCTGCGGTGTAGCCTGTCTGGTCAATCTTGAATCCACAGAACTCCACCTCATTCCCGGCGAAGGAACACTTGTCTGGGTTCAGTGTCATCCCGTGGTCATCGCATCTCTGCAGGATGTTCCATACGTGCTCCAGGTGAGCTGAGTAGCTCGAGTCGTACGCCAGAATATCGTCTACGACTTTGCATGTCTGAGGGATGTCACCGAGAGCAGCGTCGCCTCTTCGGTTGTACTCGTCTCCTGACGAGACCAGACCCATGACGGCACGTTTGTAGCGGAAACGGCCCCATGGCGTGATGAAACACGTTTTGTCCTGGTCCTCCTCGCGGATGGGGATCTGGTGGTAGCCAGACTTGCTATCCAGCTTCGTGTAGAAGTTTGCACCGCTGCCGATCGAGGCCACAGCGTCGTGCGGCGACCTGACTGGGTACGCTGGCCTCTTGACGAATCGGTTCAGCTTGGTGAGGTCGACCGTCAGACGGCAGCCAGAGACCGTGCCGTCCGGCGACCGCTTCGCCACCGGCACGATGGGGTGGCACCACTCGGTCGGATGCTCCACCGGCTCGATCACGTCACTCTCCAGCAGCTCATCCAGCTGGCGCCGAATGTCGTCACGCCAGCAGAACGGTACACTGCGAGCTGTGGAGACGGCAACTGGTGTGGCGTCTTCAGTCAACTCGATGGCCATTGAGCCTCCGGACATCTTGCGCAGCTTCGAGGTGACGTCAAACACTCGTGGGAAGGCTTCCTTCATCGCTGAGAAGTGCTTCCGTCGTTCTTCAGCCGATGGCACACCTTTGCTTGCATCCCACGTCGGCTTCAGCGGGTGCACCTTCTGCGCCTTCCCGGCGTCTTCAAGTGCAGGAGCAGATCCTCGTTTGACCACTCTGCGGGGTATCTTGCTCTTCCCTGGCATGGTCTTCAGGGAGCAGACTGCTGGAGCTGGTCTGGAGGTCTCCTCCTCGTCTGAGATGGCAGAACGGATCTGCTGTGGGAACTCCTTGTGCAGTATTCCCAGTCGAACAGCGTCGTGCCACGACAGCAGCGAGCTGTGCAGCTTCTTCACCACAGAGACGGCTATCGTCCTCTTGATGCTTCCCAGCTGCAGTGCGACTTGGCACGCTCCCAGGCAGGGAAGTTCTCGTCCGTCCGCTGCGAACATGCTTCCAGAGGGCGGCGTCAGCTTCTTGACGTTGATGCCCATCTGCTTCGCTGCCTCCAGAGAGATAACAGACACCTCAGCGCCTGTATCTGGCGTCCATGTCGTTTGCTGCCTGCGACCGTCACTCCGATGCAGCAGAATCTGGATCTGCGGAGCACGCGTCGTGTGCAGGCCTTGGATCATGCAGTCTCGGTGCTGCTGGTCCACTGTCTGTCTGGCAGGTGCAGATGCCGCTCGCGCCTTCATTGTGACGAGCGACACACGTCTGCCTCCATCGGACCTCCGCTGGGTCCGGTCTGTGCTCGCCGCCGGAGCGCGCCAGCGACTGGCGCTGCGACCGCGGCAGACAGACGCGAAGTGGCCTACCTTGCCACAGGCGCGGCAGGTCCTCTTGACGGCCCTGCAGTCGCCGGCGCTACGGTGAACTTCACCACCGCAGCGGGGGCACGTCTTCTCTGTCGACCGGTCTCTCGGGCGACCGCGGCTGCGCTGGTACTGAGAGACCCTCGCCAGGGTCGAGCCAGCTGGTTCACGGATGGCTGAGCTGTTGGAGGCGGCATTCTCTGACGCTCGGGCGATATCCACTGCCTTCTGAAGCGTGAGATCCGGCTCTTCCAACATTCTGCGGCGTGCTTCCTCGTCTCGCGTGCCGACAACGACTCGATCTCTGAACCTGTTGTCCTGGCAGTGGTAACAGAAATCACAGAACGATGCAATCTCTTTCAATCCACAGAGAAAATCGTCCACTGTTTCGCCCGCTTCCTGTACTCGCATGTAAAAATCTCTCCGATCAATGATGACGTTACGCTGGCGGCGCAGATGCGTCTGCATCGCCGTGATGATGGTGTTCATGTCAGCGTCTTCGGGGATCGGCAGGCCGTACCTGACCACCCTGGTCCAATCGTCATCAAGCAGAGCGAGTAGGGCTGCCTTCTGCTCGGGCTGGGCTAGCCTGTTGACGCCAGTCAGCAGACTGTAGCCGTGAAATTTCTGTCGCCAGGATTCAAACTCCTTCAGCGACGCCGATGACGACAACTGTGGAGCGGGAGTTGCTGATGCCGGCAGTCTGGGCGGTAGATTGACGGCTGCGTTCGTATCGGCTGGGGTGGCCGCTGCAGTAGCCGCCGCGGCTGCAGCGCCGGCCCCTGCCGCCGGCCCGGCCCAAATCCGTTCCATTACGGCCACCATACGCTCCTCCCGCTGCTGGCTTTGCCGCTGAGCTTCTTGAGCCAGCTCCAGTTGCTGGGCGAGGAGTTGGGTGAGGGCTCCCAGGTCTATCGGCTTGCCTTCCTCCGTCATTGTGAGAAACGCGCGCGAAAACCGACGAAAAAATGCTATATTTAATGATAAAAGGTAAATTATACCGATCGCGCCATGTTATGGTTTTACATTTAAGTCTACGTTAATAATGGTTCGATAGCAAATTAATTATCGTCGCGATTCCGCCGCCCCAGACGCACACGCGCACTCCCGATGTGAACTGTATTGAGTCCGGCTGACGACTGCACAACAATACTCTTTACTCAAGGACGCCGGAAGCTGCCGGGCGGCACAGCCTACCATCAGGCGCCGGCCGGCGCCGCGGCGGCTGGCAACAGCTGTCAGCTGACTGCGCCGGCATAGCTCGTGCCGGCTCAGTAGCACGCATCACAACAGGAGACTGACGGAAGATATGGAGTGGTTTTGTGAGAGGGTGGTTTGGCGAGGATGGCTGGGGAGACTGGAAGTGGTTTGGTAAGGGGGAGAGGGTGGTTTGGCGCGGAGGGCGGGGAGACTGCAGTGGTCTGTCGGGGTGATATCGGCAGGTTAGGTGAGATATCGACACGGGTGGTCAACACGGGACGACATCCTGCTGTATAGAGTTGTTCTCTGCGGCACGCTGCGGCACGTGATTGGCTCCCGTGTGTACCGGTGTGAACGCCGAGATCCCTGCAGGCTGTTCACACCATGTCCATTCATAGTTCTCCCTCTACTGACCCCATCACCGACCCCCCTGCTGACCTCGTGTGCCGCTGCCGCCAGCCTGGCCGCCTGCGGGGACCACGTGTGTGACGCCTGCGCCGCCCTGCTCGATGCTGTCGACGAGTACAGCCACAAGCTGCGCGGAGCCGAGCAGCGCATCAGGGACAAGTACAAACTGGGGGCACTGACGGAGGACGTGGGCCACCGCACACCGGCCGGAGCTGCAGGTGAGGCAGGAATCGCGGGGATGTAAGGCGGGAGTCAAAGGAAGGACGTAAGGCGAGAACCACGGGGAGGAGAGGCGGGAATCACGGGGAGGGGCTAGGCAGGAATCACTGCTACGGGAGGCGAGGCCTAAAGAAGCTAAGCTTCAAGGAAAACCGACCGTACAAACTAAATCATAAAAGGATAACAGCTGTACCGCTTTTTTGTACCATTTGGACGAACTCATTGATCCGGATTCATGTGTTATTTTTTGGTTGTGGACTGACGAAAAACAGTGTTGGAGAATAGATAAATCAATTTGCCTGCCCTCGCTCAGTTTTACTAGGTTCCATGTTTCACAAATAGAGTGTCGTGCCCTCCTCCTGCCAGCAGTGGCTGTGGAACTGGCAGATCAGAAGGCTCCGCCACCGCCGCCGGCGCCTCCAGACCAGCACCAGCAGCCGCACAATCCCCAGGAGCAGCATCAGGAGCAGACCCAGGAGCCGTCTCAGCTGCAGCAGCAACTGCAGGAGCAGCCTGAACAGCAAATACAACGGCAGAGCAGCTCGGGGGACCTCCCCACCAAGACAGACTTGCTGGAACAGGTATGGAGCAGCCGCTGTGACTCACCAAAACAGCGTGCTGTGCCCTAACGTGGCTGGTGATAGTGGGTGCCTCGTCTGCGTGCAGTGTTTCATTTTTCAGCGTTTTTGGTGGCAAATCACACCTAATGGGGAAAATATTTTCATCCCTGAAATATGAATGACCGACTTTACTTCATCTCTGAAAAGAGTTTCATGTATTCCCAACAGCCAGTTCACTTGTCACTTGACAGTTGATGCACCCACATCCTTTTGTTCCACACCCTGTCAAGATCCTGACATGAAATCCTGGTTTATCAGTTAGCATAAAAATTGGCATTACACCATTTTGCAAAAATACTGCATTTATTTACTGTCTTTTTTCTCATCCTAGGATTTTTTTTTTTATTCATCGGCACACCCAACCAATATCCAATTTTAGAACACTGTCTGCGTGTATCAGTGTCGCTGTATGCAGTCTGTAACTGTTCACCCAACTAGCCGCAGCAGCTGATATTCGTGTCACTTCGTGACGGCACTGTACTCTGTGTGTGACATATCTGACGGACTTTGCTGCACCTGTCCGTGCCACTGCCGCCTTTGTGTACCGTTCGTTTCCTCCCGCTCTGGCGGCGGCCCGATAACCCACTGAGGTGTTCCGGGGCTGTCCGTGCCCGCAGGCGATCCGTGAGGAGCGGGTGGACGATCCGGCCAGGGCCGAGACCGGAGACGCTGATCACGTGAGTCCCCAGTCGCACCGGAGCCGCTGCGGGGTTGGCCTGGAGCGCCGCTAGGACGTCTGCATGAAGTCAGGTGGCTGACTGCTACTCACCGAACGATTCAAAACGCTGTATGTTGTTTCGTTGTTTAATTCATTCACGGCCATCATGTTTGTTCATAGTATTTACGGTGTTAATCATGACATGTGCTGTCTCTCTGTACATCGGGCCGAACCTTCATGTGCCTGAGCACCGCTTAATTAAATACCTTAACTCGCATGGGTTCCTTGAGCCTTCGATTAGTTTGACGGTATATAATTCCCGGTGTCCGCCTAACCCCTCTCCCCCTTCCACAGCCTGCCGACGCGGAGGACGGTGCCGGCGGTCGGCGCACCCCGCTCCGCTGCCCGCACTGCTCTCGCCAAATGAGCTCGGCCGCGCAGCTGGCGGAGCACGCGGCGCAGTGCCGGCCGGCCGGGGAGGCCGCTGCCGCCGCGCCGGAGCGGCCGACCGGCGGCGGGGGCGCGCCGTTTGTCGGGCCGCGCCTCTCCTGCCACTGCGGGCAGAGTTTCGACTCGCCGGCCGAGATGGCGCAACACCAGAGCACCAGTCACACCGAGGCACGCTTCGTCTGCGAGCACTGCGGAGAGCAGTCGAAAAACCCCAAGGCGTTCGCGGAACACATGCGTCAGCACGGCGACACGCGTCCGTTCCGCTGCGACGTGTGCTCGAAGCGGTTCACCCTCCTCAGCTCGCTGCGCACCCACCAGCGACTGCACACGGGTGACAAGCCGTACCAGTGCGAGGTGTGCGGGCGCGCGTTCACGCAGCACACGTCCCTACAGAGCCACCGGCGCACACACACCAACCAGAGACCGTACACGTGCGAAGTGTGCCAGCGCGGCTTCAGGGAAATGCACTCGCTCAAGAAACACATGCTGATCCACTCGGGCGAGAAACCATTCCAGTGTGAGCTCTGTGAGATGCGGTTCCGTCAGAAGGGTGTCCTTCAGCGCCACATGCGGACACATACAGGGGAGCGGCCCTACCGCTGTGATCAGTGTGATAGCGCCTTTATAGACTCGAATGCCCTGAAGATGCACAAGATCCAGCACACGGGCCAGAAGCCGTTCTACTGCGAGCACTGCGGGAAGGGCTTCTCCGACGCATTCTGGTTCAACAAGCACCAGATGTACCACAGCGGAGAGCGGCCCTTCAAATGTGACCTCTGCCCCAAGGCGTTCACCGACGCCCGCATCCTGCGAACGCACAAGAAGCTGCACTCGGGCGAGCGGCCGTACATCTGCTACGTGTGTGGCGCCAGGTTCAGCAACTCGTCCCACCTGACGCGCCACAACAACATCCACACGGGCACGCGGCCGTTCGAGTGCGAGGTCTGCCGCCAGACATTCCGGGACAAGTCGACCCTGAAGCGGCACATGCGCACCCACAGCTGCCAGCGCGGCCTCAACTGTCCTGACTGCACGGGCTCGTTCCCGCGCAAGGACGCGCTGCAGGTGCACCGGCGTGTGTCGTGTACGGGCGCGGGGGCGGCTGGCGGCGGGGCGGCGCTGGCGCGCGGCCCCGACCCGCTGGCGCTGGCGGTCAGTGCCGCCGGGCCGCCCGGCTACACGGCCGACAAGGCGCCGCTGTACTCGCTGAAGGAGCTGCCGGCCAGCCAGGTGCTGCAGCTGCAGGGACTGGAGCAGCTGCAGCCGCCGACCCAGCCGCAGCAGCAGACGGAGCAGCAGCAGCCGCACCTGATGCAGACATACCAGTGATGCCGCGGCGGACGGCGGTACACACCCGTGCCTGCGACAAAATCGCCTCATTTTCATCATGAAGTTCACTAGTGCATCTATGCATTGAATGCGCAATTGTGCCCAAACTCATTCACCGTGAGTGTTCTGGAAGGATCATCCAGAGCAGTGAGGCCATCTTCATCATTTGAATGTTACGTAGTACGCGAATTATTTGTATGGCGTTTTGTGTGTGATTGTGTAACGGGTGAGCATTAAAATTTTGCACAAACTTTGTATGTCAATAGAACATTAATTGCCTGATGCCCGTGAAAACAACAACTACCAAGTGAAAGGTTGGGAAAAATACTTTCTGTTTATATGCAATATAAGCTGTTTTGCCCTGCCAATCGTGAACACGGAGCCAAAGAAGAAAGACGCGTTGTTAAAAGGGGTGGCGAAACTTCACGAAAAAAATCGTGAGCTCGGTAAACCGTTTACCGTAAGGAACTCCGTGGCCGGAAAACCAGGGATTTTATACATCGGGTCCTCTTCAGGAAGATCCTGAGCATGTTCGGTTCAACTAAAAAAACAAGTTTCCGTAGAAAATAATTGTGTGGCTTGCCGTCAGCGAAAGAGGTGTATTTTAGCCCTTCTTCTGTCAAAGCGGAGGTGCCCTGGGTGGTCAAATCTACCGAGAACAGCGCGTGACCAAGATGTTTGTCCTCTTCATGGAAGAAAAACATAGTGGAGACGAAATTATGTTCTGGCCGGAACTGGCATCGTGCCATTACGCTCGTGAGACGCAAGAGGTGCTCCATGAGAGCATACCGTCGATGCCGAAGGGTGACAGCCAGCCATGCTGCCCACTGAGTGCATACAGCTGAGACCCATGTGGAGCGTCAGTGGTCTATGATTAAGGCCAAAACATACGCAGGAGGCTGGAAAGCGACGGATGACACCCAGCTCATTAGGAAAATCTAGAAGGGCATCAGCTACACGGACCAAGAATTAGTGCACAAGATGATGAAGGGGGTACCACAGCGCGTGCAACACGCTGCACGTGCAGGAGCCAATACCTGCGTCCACTAAGCAGCATGTGAAAGCGGAGGTACAGATCTCCAGTCTATGAAAGTTGTACGCTAATCTGTTGAATATAATGTGATTTATAAACAAATGAATTTTGTGCAAAATTTTAGTGCTCACCCGTTATTTGGCGCGAGTTTTACAAACGCGTCATTGAGTGATCTGCAGCATCGTTGCTGCATGAATTGCATTGTCTGAATGTTAGGCAATTGTTGTTCCATTCGTGGAACTCTGTGCTTTGTGAACCCTATTGTATCAACCTATATTTTTTTTTACCGAACGATATTTTGTATAAATACGATGTTACAGCCAAGACTTTACGGGAGTGACGTGCTTTGTGACTACCAGACGGCAGAAACGAATGATGAATGACAAGCTAGGTGTCGAGAGGCCGGTACCCCTAGCTTGATCTGTGCCACAAACAAATGGCAATGCTCGCAAGTCGCAAATATGTAAACCCTCGGCGCCGATGACCTCTGAACCCCGCGTGTCCTAAAATTGCAAATCACATCACACATCACAAACATCTAAGCGTGGAGTTAGGAGAAGTCCCTATATGGCTTCCCACACATCTCAATTAGTGGTTGCTCACAAGACAATTCTATAGTCTTTTTTCAACAGTAGCACCTGAGTAGCCGGCCTGGGTTCAAGGGCCATGATTAGCAAGACCCCGGTCCAGAACAACGGACATGTCCACCGCTCGACCCTGCACGCGCCCCGCGATAATCTCCAACGAAAACCCTGAGCCACAGACACCCGCCACACGACCATCCCGATCCTGGGCATTTGTGATAGATTTCCAACACCTCCTTGGATAATCATATTTATTTTAAGTTCAACTTGGGTGACCATATCACGGACACATAAAGCACACCAAGTTCATATATTGGATTCACAAAAAAATAACAAAAACAAGATACAGAACTCGGGCCTAGTACACGTTTACTACACAAAACGAGATATTTACTCTTAGGTCACCGCCCGCCTATTGACGGAACAATGTAACAAAGGAACATGTTTTCGAAATAATAGTAGATTTGAATGACATCACATTGTTTCATCATTCGGAGCGATGGAGGAATGCAGCTACGCCGTTCGCCCCCATTACCGTCACACAAAATGACATCAGCGTTCATATCCACAGTCCACACAAAACTTCCTAACAGCTCCATTATTCAAACAACATTCCAACCCAAACAGCCACGTCCTACCGACAATATATCTGTGCTTGCACCGCCACCCACCCACAGTCACACTACAGGTTCGTTCCCCACCGGGCTGTGCGCGACCGGCCGGCTTCCCTCGCTAGGCCGTCCCTCACGCCGCCGACTGCAGTTTCAGACAGCCGACATTGAAGCCATCGCCCCTGTTCTGACCAACGCGCGCCAGCAGCGCCACCTTCTTGCGGTTGCACTTGCTGGTCTGCAACTCGTAGAGTGTGCAGAGGTTGAGCAGCACCGTCTCCTGGAGCAGCTCCGGTCGCGCGAACACCGCCTCCTCTAGCAGTGTGACGGCCGCCGCCAGCCGGCCGCGGTACAGCAGGCACACGGCCACGTTAGTCAGGACGGCCGCGTTCTGCGGCTCCAGCTCCAGCGCCCGCTCAAACTGAGACTGAGCGTCGGCGAAGTCGTTCTCGCCGATGGCTAGCAGGGCGGCATTGATGAGTTGCTGACACTGCAGCGAGTGACCCGACTCGCCGGCCGGCGCCGCCTCTGCCGGGGGAGCTGGTATGGTCAGATATACTCTGTTGAGCTGGCGACTCCGAGCCATGAATGGCAAAGGGTGGCGGCATTGCAACGGGCAACCACAAATTGTTCTGAACTGACTGCACTCGTTGACAGCCAATGACAAAGACAGGTACAAAACATGCACATTTATCTGTAATCGCTCCCAGTTTTGGATATACGTTTACGTTTATCAGCAAACGTTCGTACGTTTTCAATGATCAGATACGCATGATTTCTTAACTAGCAGCAGAACCAAGTTATGCATTGGATCTCCCTCCCAGCGATACGATACCCACCTGTGACTGATGCGAACGCTGCGCGGGCGGCGGCCATGTTACCCAGCTGGAGGTAGACGCGGCCGACGGCTGACCTCAGACCGGCCGACAGCCGCGGCAGCTCGGCGCTCAGCTGAGACAGACACTCGATCGCCTGGTCGTAGTCCTGTGGAACGGAGCAGCGGCGGGGCGTTAGGTGCCGTCACACCGGCGAATAGTCGGCCAGCTACACAGAGACGTGGTTGGCACCAGCGGCGACACCGGCCTCGTGCACAAAGTCACCAGATGCAAGGGTAAGGAAATGCGTATTAATTTTGCTTTGCATATTTTAACCCTCGCATGTGTAGGGGGGGGGGGGGTCGGATGGACCCCCCCATGGTTTTTCGCGAATAACTCGCGTAAAAAGTGGCCGATCGCGACGAAACTTTCAGTACCCTCGCATTGATCAATTTTACACCTACCCTGAAAATTTCATGACCCTGACCCAAATGACCTTTGACCTGTGACCTCTTTTCCGAGACCATGTTTGGCCGGAATCGCGATTTCGCGTATGTCGGCTCGCACTAGCCGCGTGTTTGCAAGCTTTTCGTGGTTTCAAACGTTCAAACATGTGATTTGATGTTACTCCCGTGTGTGTCAAGGTCACCTGAAGGTCAGGTCAGGTCATTGACCTTTGGTGACCTCGGGTGACCTCGGGTCACTTTTTCGAGTTTTACATGTTTCTAGGCTAGTTTTTGGAGCTGAATTCGAATTTAGCAACCATTTGAACATTTACGAAGTAGTTTTGGTGACTTCGTAACATGTTACGAAGCTGTCAGAGGCGGTTGACACGTACTACGAATACCCGTCACGACGCCTACTGGTTGACCTGACCTGACCTGACCCGACCTGGTCTAAATGCTTCAAGACATCATCTGTGATCAAAAATAACACGATATTCGTGATCAGCACCCCGAAAAACCCCTTAGCAGCCACACTTTACGACTTTCTAACAGGTCCCAATTTTCCCGGTTTTCGGGTCATTGACCTGACCTGGAAGGTCACCCGATGACCAAGGACCTTAAAATTGGGTATCATCGGCTTCCTCTCGTCACGGGCAACACGCTCGTTTTTTCCGCGAAGCTCTAGCTCGATCAGGGGCCAAACGGCAAGGGGGGGTCCAACCGACCCCCCCCCCCCCTACACATTAGAAGCTGGCAAACGCCGCACACATGCGAGGGTTAACATCGGTCATAAATCTAATTTGCAGGGTTTGGTGTTTGTATATTTGTTCATGAACAGTTCGTGCGGTGAACAATGTTTGTTTGTTTTTGTATTTGATAGTTTACGAATTTTGGCATTCAAGGTCACATGTTCACCAACGATTCTCTGTTCACGAACAGTTCGTGAACGTTCATGAACAAGTCATCATTTCTGATATCTCTCTAGCAATTGCTATCATACGGTGCTGACATGACTGCAGGCATATTTTACATGTGAAAAAATGCACCAGTCATATCTCAAGCACATGGAATCGTGATTCATAATTATTCTTGCAACTCTGAGGCTTAGATTGTGCATCTAAGACCTTGCATGACGTCATATAAGACGCCACTAAGGTTGTTTGATGCAGTAGGAGCTTTTCGCTAATAACTTCCGATCAAATTGAGCTAGCAAGTCGGTTGAGCCATCACTTGACTCAGAAAGAACTGCCACATCGAATGATATGCAACATGACATCCTCCATGCAGCTTTGTGACCCGAGTGGCTTTGACCTGACCTTGACCTGAGGTCAACATCCTAAAAAGACCTAATCAAAACAGAAAGTGTATCATTCGACACGCCTGGCCACGACGAGCACGATGGTGCCACAATCGCGGCTCTGCCACCATTTGTGGCGAAGTTATTCACCAAAAACCAAACCCCCTACTTAATGACACTTGACCTGACCTCAGGGGTCGCCGGTTGGTGTAAGACCTTGAAATCGGATACCAATCGCTGTGGTTCGCAAAGACGCACACGCTGGCTTTTTCCGCAAGGTTCTATCTAAATTAGGAGCGAAATGGCTAAGGAGGGGGTCTTATCTACCCCTCTTTACCGTGTTCGCGAACAGTGCATGAACGTTCGCGAACTGTTCGTTGTTTGTTTACCAAAATTTGACCGATGACGTCACTTGTTCGCGAACACATTTGTTCGTGAACAGTTTGTTTATGTTTGTTTATTTGAAAAAATTAAACAAACACCAAACTGACCAACCCCTGCTAATTTGTAATGGGGAAACGTACTTGCTTTGTACATGCACCTGAGGTAGTTAATTACGCGTTATCTCTTCTAGCCGCACGACGCAGCCCAAACTTCTGGTTATCTCCTCTCTTACACTACTGTCCGTCCTCACCTTCATTCCGACGCAGCAGTTGACCACGGAGAAGAGCACCTTGAGACGGCGAGAGTTCCACAGCGTCAGCGACTGCTGCCGGGCCGCCTCGGAGAGGTCGGACGGAGAGCCGTCCTCGGAGCGGCCGGCCACCAGGTTAGAGATTATCTGAGGGGACAGACAGACAGACATAGTTAACTGCAGAGCCGTCCTCGGAGCGGCCGGCCACCAGGTTAGACATTATCTGACGGACAGACATACAGACAGACACACATACAGTCCTCCGAGCGGCCCGCCACCAGGTTAGACGTTATCTGACGGGACATGGAACAGGTGGGGCCGTCACCTTCTGTGGATGACCGAAGATGGAGATATCACACCCTACCAGACAGCTAATAATAAGGGGCATTACCTGACAAACTTACAGGAACAGCAGTTGTGTAACAGGCATATTAACAAGACAGGAGGGATCGTTATCTTGCGGATATTAAGGGGGAGGCATTTTCTGACAGAGGGAAAGCTTGTGTTGTCATCGATCGTGAATAGGCGAGTCCGTTTTAATGACACACAGAGCCCGTCATGTAACCCTGACAGATGTTGTGTTACAAATACTGCTGCTAACAGCGTCAGTTATACCATTTTTGGTGCCTGGCTAATCTGGGACAGCAAGCTGATACTAGCCCGCACCCGGACTGCACCCGTACAGTGTACGTACATACCGTACCTGCTGACACACTGAGTGTATCTGTTAAAGCCGGTCCACGCTGGTATGGTACCACTATAACTGTACACTGTACTCGTGCCGTACCTGCTGACACACGGAGTGTATCTGGTACAGCCGATCCACGCTGGTATGGTACCACTATAACTGTACACTGTACTCGTACCGTACCTCCGACACACGGAGTGTATCTGGTACAGCCGGTCCACGCTGGTATGGTACCGCTATAACTGTACAGTGTACACTACATTGTGCCGTACCTGTTGGCACACGGAGTGTATCTGGTACAGCCGGTCCACGCTGGTCTGGTACCACTATAACTGTACAGTTGTACACTGTACTCGTACCGTACCTGCTGACACACTGAGTGCATCTGGTACAGCCGGTCCAGGCTGATCTAACCGCTATAACTGTACAGTGTACACTACATTGTACCGTACCTGCTGACACACTGAGTGTATCTGGTACAGACGGTCCAGGCTGATCTAACCGCTATAACTGTACAGTGTACACTACATTGTACCGTACCTGCTGACACACTGAGTGGATCTGGTACAGCCGGTCCAGGCTGGTATGGTACCAGTGGTACCACTATAATTGTACACTGTACTCGTACCATACCTGCTGACACACTGAGTGGATCTGGTACAGCCGGTCCAAGCTGGTCTGGTACCACTATAACTGTACACTGGTACTCGTACCGTACCTGCTGACACACTGAGTGGATCTGGTACAGCCGGTCCAAGCTGGTATGGTACCACTTTAACTGTACACTGTACCTGTACCATACCTGCTGACACACTGAGTGTATCTGTTACAGCCGGTCCAAGCTGGTATGGTACCACTATAACAGTGTCACTGTACTCGTACCGTACCTGCTGACACACTGAGTGTATCTGGTACAGCCGGTCCACGCTGGTATGGTACCACTATAACTGTACTCGTACCGTACCTGCTGACACACTGAGTGTATCTGGTACAGCCGGTCCAAGCTGGTATGGTACCACTATAACAGTGTCACTGTACTCGTACCGTACCTGCTGACACACTGAGTGTATCTGGTACAGCCGGTCCAGGCTGGTCTGGTAGTGGGCCATGTAGCGCGGCAGCTCCGCCAGCAGTACTCGGAACGAGAAGGGGACCATCGAGCCACGCCGGCCGCCGTACAGGTCCGGGTAGTACTGCAACGGCACGAACAGGGGGTCAGACATTGAGCCAGGAGAAGGCTAGTACTGCAACGGGTCGGACATGGGGTCAGACATTGAGCCAGGAGAAGGCTAGTACTGCAACGGGTCGGACATGGGGTCAGTCATGGGTACTGGGACAGTGGATATCGGGTCAGCTGGGACTAGTCAGTGGGTACAGGTTCCAACAAGAGGAGCAACGGGTCAGCCATTACCGGGAACAGAGGGCGCCGGTAAAATTCTAGCGTTATCTTTCAAATTCACAGCGCCGCGTTTGACCCAGCAGTGATTCTGAGTGTCCCACAACTCAGACTGGCTGACTCAGAGTCAACACTATCGACACTCAGACCAGACTCTGAGCAGACTGGACGATCCGGGTCGCGTCGGGTCGGGTCGGCAGACGGCCACTGACCTGGAAGAAGAGGTCGGCCGTGTCCAGATCTCCCCAGGCCTGCGCCTCGCGCTCCGCCACGGCGAACTGACGGAGACGGACCAGCAGCGCCAGTCGCGTGAACCACAGCTGAAACAGAGAGACAGCCACGTGAGAAAATACAGACACAACAGCGTGAGCCACAGCCTGAAACAGAGAGAGACAGCAGCGTGAGCCACAGCAGAAACAGAGAGACAGCCACGTGAGCCACAGCTGAAACAGAGAGAGACAACAGCGTGAGCCATAGATCAAACACTAAGACGCTTGAACCGTAGCTGAAACATATTACACCTTAGCTGGACGACAATATTTTTCAACTACAATACGTACAACTCGGAATTATAGATTACGGTACAGGCACAGCAATCGCACGAGTAAGATACAACCAAAGCACAGACACGTACTAGCTGAAACTGACACGACACGAAATAATATCGACACCTTTTTTTAAACCCCACATCTGCTCTCCCGTGAATTTCCGGGAAGCACGAAAGATCTCCTTTTAAAAGTGTCCAATCGTCCGATCCTGATCAAATATGTGTGTTCGTAGCAGGGATGCGGAGCCGGAGCCGGAGCCGGAGCCGGAGCCGCCGGAGCCGGCATATTTTGCCCGGAGCCGGAGCCGGAGCCGGAGCCGTGAAACAATATAGCCCGGAGCCGGAGGCGGAGCCGGAGCCGTCAAAAAAGGGGGCGACTCCGGCTCCTTTTCTTAAGAGGAAACAATTATTTACCTAGGTTTGACAGTACAAGGCGTAAAACAATGTGGTATTCAAAACAGCCTTGTTATACAAATACAGAAGCAACGTGTACCAATCGGCCATCGCCTTTTTTCTTCCACCCGTATTAGGGGATGTACTGAGTAGAAGCCGGAGTCGGAGCCGCCGGAGCCGGAGCCGCCGGAGCCGGAGCCGCCGGAGCCGGATCATTTTACTCGGAGCCGGAGCCGGAGCCGGAGCCGCCATGACATTTCACCCGGAGCCGGAGCCGGAGCTGGAGCCGATTTTTTTCTCCGGAGCCGGAGCCGGAGCCGGAGCCGTCTGAAATTTCCACGGCTCCGCATCCCTGGTTCGTAGGCCTGTTCTGGTATTGCTTTATCTGCCAAGACAGACAAACTTGAGAAATATCGAGTGATTTTACCTTTTTTGAAGGTCTCTAACCAACTTGTCTGAAATTCACCGGAGAACAAATGTGGGGTTTAAAAAAGGTGTCGATATAAAGGAACAGCAAAGTCGACATAAATTACTAGGCGAGTCACATCTAAAACACCACTAGTAGACCTGAGCAAAGCACAAAAGAACAAAGGAGTGAAACAAAGCACAGCAACAGTCAACTACAGACGCCTGTCTCAGACAAAGCACGCCGCGCGGCACTGACCTGGACGGAGTTGGCCGTGTGCTTACTGAGCTGACCGGCACGCCCGTAGCCCTGACCGTAGTTGGTCAGCAGTCGGCCGGTGAGGTTCACTGCCGAACGGTAACAACCCGCCTGGAGGGAGCCAAACGGTCAGGTCAGATAACTGCTGAACGATAACAGCCCGCCTGGAGGGCATCACAGGTCAGGTCAGTTTACCGCCGACCAAAACAGCCCGCCGGGGACAGACCAAAGGTCAGGTCAGGTCACCGCCGACCGACAGCATACAGCAACTTTGTGGGGGCCAATTATCAGGTCAAGCCTTCAAGCATATTCGGTTGTGCTATTGTGATAGGCTAAATATTGATGAAACAAGGACGTGGCTGAAACTTGTATCAGACCTGTGCCTGCATGAGATGTCGGATGCCCCCGTCGGCCTGGCAGTATAAACTGTCGGCTCTCACCTGTATCAGCTGCCGGATGCCCCTGTCGTCCTGACAGTATAAACTGTCGGCTCTCACCTGTATCAGCTGCCGGATGCCCCTGTCTCACCTGTATGAGCTGCCGGATGCCCCTGTCGTCCTGACAGTATAAACTGTCGGCTCTCACCTGTATCAGCTGCCGGATGCCCCTGTCGTCCTGACAGTATAAACTGTCGGCTCTCACTTGTATCAGCTGCCGGATGCCCCTGTCTCACCTGTATGAGCTGCCGGATGCCCCTGTCGTCCTGACAGTATAAACTGTCGGCTCTCACCTGTATCAGCTGCCGGATGCCCCTGTCTCACCTGTATCAGCTGCCGGATGCCCCTGTCTCACCTGTATCAGCTGTCGGATGCCCCTGTCGTCCTGACAGTACAAACTGTCCGCTCTCACCTGTATCAGCTGTCGGATGCCCCTGTCTCACCTGTATCAGCTGCCGGATGCCCCTGTCTCACCTGTATAAGCTGCTGGATGCCCCTGTCGTCCTGAGTGACGCTGCCGGATGCCCCTCGTCTCACCTGTATCAGCTTCCGGATGCCCCTGTCGTCCTGTATGAACTGTCGGCTGTCTCACCTGTATCAGCTGCCGGATGCCCCTGTCTCACCTGTATGAGCTGCCGGATGCCCCTGTCGTCCTGAGTGACGCTGCCGGATGCCCCTCGTCTCACCTGTATCAGCTGCCGGATGCCCCTGTCGTCCTGTATGAACTGTCGGCTCTCACCTGTATCAGCTGTCGGATGCCCGTGTCGTCCTGACAGTACAAACTGTCCGCTCTCACCTGTATCAGCTGTCGGATGCCCCTGTCTCACCTGTATGAGCTGCCGGATGCCCCTGTCGACCTGAGTGACGCTGTCGGATGCCCCTGTCGTCCTGACAGTATAAACTGTCGGCTCTCACCTGTATGAGCTGCCGGATGCCCCTGTCTCACCTGTATCAGCTGCCGGATGCCCCTGTCTCACCTGTATCAGCTGTCGGATGCCCCTGTCGTCCTGACAGTACAAACTGTCCGCTCTCACCTGTATCAGCTGTCGGATGCCCCTGTCTCACCTGTATGAGCTGCCGGATGCCCCTGTCGTCCTGAGTGACGCTGTCGCATGCCCCTGTCGTCCTGACAGTATAAACTGTCGGCTCTCACCTGTATGAGCTGCCGGATGCCCCTGTCTCACCTGTATCAGCTGCCGGATGCCCCTGTCTCACCTGTATCAGCTGCCGGATGCCCATGTCGTCCTGAGTGACGCTGCCGGATGCCCCTGTCTCACCTGTATGAGCTGCCGGATGCCCCTGTCGTCTTGAGTGACGCTGCCGGATGCCCCTGTCTCACCTGTATGAGCTGCCGGATGCCCCTGTCTCACCTGTATGAGCTGCCGGATGCCCCTGTCGTCCTGAGTGACGCTGTCGGCCGTCAGTACGGACCTCTGACGCGCCTCGGTGGGCGTCATGTACTGCACCATCAGCTCCAGCACCGGGTCCGTCTACAGGAGGGCAGCCGAGGGCGCGGTACGTCAGAGCGCTTCCATTCGTGACAGTGAACTGTCTGGTGTAAAATTCCCCACAACCACACTAAGAACATGACCTCATGCCATTGCATTTGGTATTGGTATCTATCATATCATCATTTGGTATTGGTCTGGAGCGTATCTGGTATCTGGCCATCACCATTGCCTGGTGATGGCCAGACCCTACGCTATTTTATCCAGTGGCCATATCAGTCAATAGGAAAAACGGTGCGTCATTGGTGGAATCGGAATCTGAAGGAGGGAGTCAGCCCGCCCCACTCGCCAGGTCAGTCTGCAGCCTCAGGCAGGGTAAGTCTGTCTGACTGAGGGAGGGGGGGGGGGGCGTCAGCCCGCCAGTCACTAACCAGGTCAGTCTGCAGGCTGCAGCCGGGCAGGGCGAGTCTGTCTGACTGAGAGGGGGTCAGCCCGCCAGTCACTAACCAGGTCAGTCTGCAGGCTGCAGCCGGGCAGGATGAGTCTGTCTGACTGAGAGAAGGGGGTCAGTCCGTGACTCACCAGGTCTGTCTGCAGGCTGCAGCCGGGCAGGGTGAGACTGTCCACGCTGGGGTAGAAGGTGCCCGGCAGACTGTGCGCCATGCTGTCCAGCACGGCCTGGGTGCGCTCGGACGGGATCCAGGCGTCGTGCTGGCGGTCCGTCTGTGGCGGGGCAGGGCGGGCGGTCAGTCACACAGAGGACCACGGACCGGGGCATGGGGCTGCGGGGGAGCCCTCTCATAGTGATACGCACACGGTCTGAACCAATGACACAGCAACTGCAGGCGTAAGTCGATGACATATACAAAAAAAAAACTTAAGCCAACACAAGAAGAAAGAACAGTGCTTCACAGCACACAAAAAAGTTTTACGACTGGGCGTTTGAACTACACTCCAGGCATTGTGGAAAACTGGACATTTTAATCCAGGCTCAGCAGTGACCGCCGGACCTACCTCTGTGCTGTACAGCAGCAGTGACCCGGCTGCACTGACCCGGCTGCAGTGACCGCCGGGCCCACCTCTAAGCTGTGCAGCTGCACTGACCCGGCTGCACTGACCGCCGGACCCACCTCGGCACTGTGCAGCCGCAGTGACTCAGCAGCAGTGACCCGGCTGCAGTGACTCAGCAGCAGTGACTCAACCGCAGTGACCCGGCTGCAGTGACCCGGCTGCAGTGACCGCCGGACCTACCTCGGCACTGTGTAGCTGCAGTGACCCGGTCAGGTCGTCCACTATGGCCGGGCTCATGCTGGGGTCGTCCGGGGTGGCCGGCAGATCCATCTCCAGGCTGGCAGTTCCCGACGGGTAGCGGGTGGGCTCGACCGGTGCCGGCGCCTCGTCCGCCAGACTGACCTCCTCCACCTGAGCACAGGGCAGGGTAGGTCAGGTCACCGCAGATCAGCACAGAGCAGGGCAGGTTACTGCCAGATCAGCACAGGGCAGGGCGGGTTACCGAAGATCAGCCCAGGGCAGGGCGGGTTACCGAAGATCAGCCCAGGGCAGGGCGGGTTACCGAAGATCAGCCCAGGGCAGGGCGGGTTACCGAAGATCAGCCCAGGGCAGGGCGGGTTACCGAAGATCAGCCCAGGGCAGGGCGGGTTACCGAAGATCAGCCCAGGGCAGGGCGGGTTACCGAAGATCAGCCCAGGGCAGGGCGGGTTACCGAAGATCAGCCCAGGGCAGGGCGGGTTACCGAAGATCACGGCAGGGCGACGCAGGTCAGCGCAGGCCGGCAGGGCAGGACAGGTTACCGCAGATCAGCACAGGGCAGGACAGGGTGCAATAGGGAAGGTCAGAACAGGGAAGCGTAAATCAAGGTAGGTTACCCCGCATCACGGCACGCTAAGTCAGTGTAGGTCAGGTCATGTCAGATCAGGTCAGGTAACTTCAGGTCACGTCAGGTGAAAGCGACCACACCCACGTCAGAGGCCAGGCCTGGTCCCAAACAGAAGGCAAATCAATAGAGCCATAGTGGTCGGTTTGAGCCTCCCGGGTGATTTACCAATGCAAATGCTGCCGACCGCGAGCAATCGATATGCCAAGGCTAGCTGGAACTTAGCTGGAACCTGACACCCTATGAATTGCAAAGGTGACGACTCCATCATCATATATGTGAAGTAAGTCACACCCCGTGACATGCGGAAGCCAACGAGCAACAAACAAGCTTAACCTTTACTTGCGTTTAGAGATTATATTGTCGAATAAAAAGTTAGAATATATGGTAACATTCGCGATAATAGCCGGAATTTGACGCCATCCTAATACGATGCAATGTATGAAACACTTATTTTGAGAGGTGATTTACATTTGGACTAATGTCGCCGTGCCCCAAAGGACGTCAGAACACAGCACCGCACCGCAGCTATGGACGGCGTGGTATTCGCGTGTATCGCTGCGGTTTTTAGCTGTTCCGCAAAGTTCAGCGCACGTGCTTCGTGTTGGTGGTACGTGCCGCTATCACAGACCCTCCCGTAAATACGTGTCACGATTGACGATAGGTGCCCGTCAGCCGCAAACAGGTCTAACTCACTCAGCCGATAACAGCTTGCAAAACTGCCATAAAACATCCGACCAGAGGAGAGCAGCGGTTGCGGCACCCAGAAAGTATGCCTGTGTGCAGTGTTTGCTATGTCAGAGAGAGGCCTGTTCACCCCTCACCCACCTCCAATATTATGCTACTGCGCGCTCGCTCGCTGACGACATGACGTCACCGGTGGCGTGCTCACCTGTTGTGTGACGTCATCAAAGTCCGGGTCGGGCTGCGGGTGCGTGGCGGCGGTCTGTGATGGTGTCAGGTCCAGATGGAGCCCGGTCTGCTCGGCTGACGGCGCCGCCGACTCGGGGACTGTCTGCTGTACGGACCGGACAGGGGGCACAGCTCACACACTGACACACAGACACACTGAACACTGCACAGCTTACACACACTAACTCACGGATATACTGCACAGTAGTTCACATACTGACTCACGGGCACACTGCAGAGCTCACATACTGACACACGGGCATACTGCAGAGCTCACAAATACTGACGCACGGGTACACTGCAGAGCTCATACACTGACACACGGGCAAGGACACCGTATGAGTCGCGCGCCGCCGACCGGCGGGGCACCCAGGAGGGAGGGAGGGACGGAGGGAGGGGGGGGGGGGGGCGCCGCCGGTGCGTGCAAGCTATGGTAAACAGATGACTCACGATACCGGCTCGTCAGCTGTCGATACATTTCATATAAACTGAATGAAACGTCGGTGAAACACTGCAAATATCCTGTCACGACTGTCGCCCTGCAAGGGTCTCATCTGTATGTTGTATAACCAGTAACTACTATCAAACAGTCTACCCATAAATTAACGGCAACATAACGATCGGAAAACATCTTGAACGTTTTAACGACGCACATTGCAAAGGTGGAGCTTTGAACCGAGCTAGGGGTGCTCGGGCGCAACAAATACCCCGTTGCCTTAGCGGTGACCTTGACCTCCGCCGTCTGCTGCGGCTCTAAAGCCAAGCCGGCGCAACCGGCGTGGAATTGGGAGAGCTCGGGCACCCCCAGGTCGGCAAAAACATACAACTATGGCACACTAACTACCATAAAAAGCACGTCAGTCCGGATAGCCAGCACGTAGAATTGAATAAGGACTATCAGCGTAACCTAAACAACACAACCACCCGCGGTTCTGTTATTGACCAACCGTTGCACGCTGCAGCACTCCTCGACACGTACTATTGGTCTCAAGATAAGGGTCCAGGCGACCTGTAGGTTTGATGCGGTGAATACCCTCACCTTCGCCACACTCGCTCGGTGCTACGGAGCTCCGATCTCGCGACCGGTCACCTGTACTTGTAGACTGTGCCGCATGGCATAGCAGTCGAGCGGGCCAGCGGAGCTTAGGCGGAAACTAGCGCCGCGTTTGACAGAGAAGGACGTTCACCATTCCGGCGGGAGGGCCGCTCGCCATTTTAACTCCATGTAGCGTCTCGCTGACAATGAAAGACACTACAGGACGACAATATATCGTTCCGCAAAAGTTATGTCCACTACCTATGACAACACTTTCCTGTTCCTAATCGTGTCCACACCTGAGGGATGACGATTCAGGCTGCACCCCTGCATTGCGCGGTCCTTGGCGCAGAGCATGAGGTGACGAACGAACCTCGGGTCACGTATCACCAAGCTACGGCCAGTTTCACAGAGATTGTCCACCTGAACGGCTGCGTCGCTACGTGAATGTCTGAAATTTCTATCAAGGGAGCTGAACCAGACAGTCGGCATGCTCCAGGCCGAAATGACACAGCGTGTCATTGCTGATTGGTTGGGATATCTGCCTGTTGTTTTTGTTTGCAAGTCTTAATTAAGACGAACTGTCTGCACAGTCCGGTGTTGGTGGGATAAGCATACGGCTGCTGGCAGTGTTGCTGATCGTTCCAGTTTGCCGGCGTGCGCCTACCATTTCAAACGTTACAGAAATCGCATTGAAAAAGGCGACCGGGAAGAGGGGCCAGTAGTTGGCGACAAAATTGGCCAAGCGGCTCGCGCTGAAGCGCTATCACATCTCTAAACAGGACCGTGAGACGCAATTGGAAGAGCTCTCCAAGGCTGATTACCTACCTTCGGCCCAATGCTAAGCCAACGCATGGTCAATGACATGTTGACATGCATTTTCAATCAGGACGGTGCGCCAACTCATCGCTCTGCCAAGGCCTAGCGGTGGTGCGAATTGAACGTGCCAGACTTCTGAAGGAAAGAGATGCTAGCCGGCTGCCATCCGGACCTCATCCTGATCGACGAACTTCGGGCTGTCGTCCAGCAGGACCTGGACAAACAGAAGCCGGCGGCCAACCTCGGCGCCTTGTCGTTACAGCTCAAACGGGCATGATAAAAAAATCCAGCCGTATTTACTGCACAACCTAGTTGCCAACATGTAAATTTGCGTTCGTATGTAAGTCCCTGTTCGTGGGGAATAAACTGAACGCTAAAGAGAATCGCTGTCCCCTATGTAGTAACTTATAGTGAACATTTTTTTTTTTAGAGGATAAAACTTATGCCGGATCATGTAGCCCACGCATCATTCATTGCAGATTCACCTTAGACTGCAAGAAGTGGCAATTTGTTTAGGACATAGCAATTAATGTCATGATCGGCATACCGCCGAGAACATCACTATTTATATCATTATCTTAACGGTTCCATATTTCAACCTTCATAACATTTAATTTCCTACTGTTTCATATAATTTCATTTATGGCGCTGAACAAGTGTTGAACAGTTCATTTCAATAACTGCATTGTTAACCTCCGGTAGGGTTAACCATTAAACAATATGTTAAGTGTTACTATCGCCCCGTTCGCTATGTGTTCGCTTTATAATTCTATCAAATATGATATCATTCCAAGAAAGCACTAATAGTGTAGAGTGTAGAAGCCATTCCCACTGATGGGACTCGCAGCGATGCAGCTAGGTAACGCATAAGGCTGATTGGCGAACTTCAGCTTGTAGACAAGACAAGGAAACGTTCTCAAAAATCAATTCCACACGTAACAAACATATATCAAGAGTGCACGTATCTCGTTGTCGTTGTATCCGTTATTCCTCGTCGGACCTATCGGCTTTCTGAATACCGAGAGGCGTCTAGTGTGTGTGTGTGTGTGTGTGGGGACCCCGCCGCGGGGGGGACCCCGTTTCGCCCATTATTAAGCTAAAAGCCTTGCAAGCAAAAACAACACCCAGCGATTCACAATCAAGTTAAAAGTGTCAGATCAGCATGTGACTCTGAGGTCGGGTCACGTGCACAAGTGCAGAGTGTTCATTAGCGAATGACGTAAAGTAAGCCCCCGCTGGAGCCCCAAATGATCGTCGGCCATCGTGCAGACGAAGCCTTCGACGACTCACGGCAGCGTTCAGTTCATCAAGGGTCTTGGACTCTTGAGTTTGCTCCGCAATTTGAGTTGCTTGAGGTTAAACAGTGAAGTCCAAGCAGGAAAAATTCAGACTGCAGAGTGACCAGGGGTGCTGGGATCTTGTTCAGTTGCTCGAAGAGTCGAAGGTGAAGAGAGTCTAGCAATTCTTCAGTAATCTGTCCAGTATTCACGTTCGAAATGGCTTAAGAAACCTGGGAAGGCATTTGTAAATATATGGACTTGTGATGTCAATTACAGAAAGTCGTGATACCGATACCAAACCAAATACCAACAGGAACCGTGGGAAAATACCGAAACCGAACCGACTTGGGAATATCAGGGAAATGCCAACTTTTTAGCAAAGTCACAGTCTCTTTTAAAGTAGCGAGGATTCACAATACCAACAAAATACAAAATGTGTTAGCCTCGAAACGCCAAATACCAAGTTGGTATCGGTTTGGTATCGGTATGCCAAAAAGTTGGTATTTGATTGACATCTCAAATATGGACAATCCTCCACAAGAAGAAACTGAACTGGAAACATTATCGTCCGATCCTAATGACCGTCATCTCCCCTGACAGCATGGTGTCGAGGCTGGAAGCGTGCACCTTTTGGCTCACGGCTCAGTGAAGCGGAAGAATGGTTCGAAAGGGTGATATTGAGTGACGAAAAGTGGCTCGCGCTACAGCAAGCACCCACAAGAATAATACAGGCTCCTTCGGCTCCTTCGCCGAAGAATCCACAAAAGTTGATTCCATACAAGGATGTGCACGGAACGAAGGTCTTGGCCGAGATCTGCCGCACGGAGAAGCAAGTTTTCTTCGAGCGACACAACTGATTTCTGTTTGAGCTATGTAAAATGTCTAAGATATATCATTCCAACGGTGAGCTGTTTATGCAATATGTTTTACGCCTCTGGCGGGGCTGACTTTATGTCATCTTTTATTGATGACCCTGTAATTTAGAGGATAGCGCGTGGATGTTTAAATGCGGTTATCCTGCACCGTAGACAGTGTTTACAATTGCTTCACGTGCAAAGAGAGAAAATTATCAGATGTCGTGTAACTGATTTTTTAAACGTCTAGACGATTAACAAACTGTTAAACGTCTAGTAGACATTTCGTCTAGTCTGAAATATGTCGTATTTTTATATAAAATGTATTCTTTATCATTAGGCGCCCGAAAGATATCGGCGGTACGGGATAAAATTATTTAACCGCTCGTAGGTAGAAAAATATTTTAAACGTCTCGCCTAACCGCTCGACGTTTAAAATATTTGTTCTACCTACTCGCGGTTTAATATATAACCACCTTGTTGGAACCAGTTGGAACGGTAGTTAATATATATTAAACTGCGAGTAGGTAGAACAAATTTTTTAAACGTCGAGTCGATAGGCGAGACGTTTAAAATATTTGTCTACCTACGAGTGGTTTAATAATGCTATCCCGTACCGCCGGCATTTTCGGTCACTTAAGTTAAAAAATACATTTTATGTAAAAATACGGCATATTTCAGACTAGACAAAAGTCTAGACGTTTAACTAATCAGGTAGGTAAACGACATCTGACAATTTTCTCTTTTTGCACGTGAAGCAATTGTAAATACTGTCTACGGTGCGGAACAATGACAAAAAAAACTCCAGGCATATGTGCAAACGATAGTCGTAAATCATTTTTTTTTTCATCAACATAAATTTTAGTATTTCCCTTGTTGAATTATGATGGTGAGGGAGGTCACGTCATTAACCTAGCTTTACGTGAACTTCTAGAAATTACGAGACATAAAAGTTGCAAGGTCTCGGAAAAATATGAAGTCCTGTGAGTTTTATTTATCTGCAGAAGTTTACCTAGCAATGGCGGAGTTGCCAAGCCGGAAAATTTTTGGGACCGAGTGAAGTCTTTGATGATCGTCATAGGTCAGTGACTCGACAACAATTGAAAATGTAATTGGTCGTTGGTGTCACCAGAGAATCGGCTTGAATCAAGTCAGGTGTGCTATTTTCAGCTTTCGGGTTTCCTTGTTGAGAGCAATCGCAAGAAGTCTGGGGTAGGTAACACCCGTCATCCTCATCTATGGAAAGTTATGCTTTTGCGGAGCGACCTTCAAAGCTAGTGCGCCCCATGCACTGTCGTGTTTTCAGCTTGCTGTCGGTTTTCCAATATATGGAAGCCAGTTATAGGCGTCTCTTAGTCTCTCATTGGTCAATCGCACCCACCACGTGTGGTTCATCAACGACCAATGAGAAGATGAGAAACGCCAGCAAACTGACAGCATGCTGATTTGGTGATCCAACAGCGCCCTGACCACACCCCTCCCATCTATCGCTGACACCCTGCTCGGTAACTCGTCTCGAGACGCGACTGAGCCAGGCCCTTCGACCGGTTACCGCCGGCGGCATAATTCCGCCTGATTCCGACTGCACCGCTGGACACTACACTGCGGCTAGCGACCCCGCTGTCAGACTCGGGCCGAACGCACCCCCTCCCCTACCCCCACTCCAGCTGTGGCGAGGGTGAGGGTATTCACCGCATCAAACCTACAGGCCGCCTGGACCCTTATCTTGAGACCAATAGTACCATCCATCCCCTCCCCATACCTTCACTCACAGTCGGACCTGCGGCGATATCGGAGCACCGGAACACACCGGGGCACACCGGAACACACAGAGACCACCGGGACACCAGAACACACCAGAGTACACTAGAGCCAGAGTACAGTCGCTAAATTAACCTTCGCCCCAGTGGGGGGGGGGGGCATATGTTACCACCCTGTCGCGTTTTTTTTTTTTGCGTGTTAATAAAAAACCGCGGCGCGTAGCGCCGCGCCGCTTGGAGTAGCTTCCCGTACATCAATTTTGGACAATGTGTGAACTTTTTTTTTACCCCAGGTCATGTCAGGTCAGGTCACCAGGTCAAGTTAACTGACCAAATCTAAAAAAGTTTGCAATCATGTCCAGCCTGCAGTGTTTGTCAGAGGAGTTTTAAACTTGGTGGATTGCATGATGTTATGGGCGCCTATAATTTGTATATCTCGGATTTTTTTTATATTCGTGACCTAAGGTCAGGCCGGTGGCGTGACCTTTTCATTATGAGTCAATGGAGAAAAATGAAAATGCCTCTATATCCGTGTGACTGTGTACGCATAGGAATAGTCCAAATATTTCAGAATCACAATGATTTGGACCACCCGTGACGATCAATGTGTCTTTTTTGCTGATAGCCTCTACAAAGGTCATCCGAGGTCAGTTGTGGCTACAAACATATTTTTGCCAATGACTCTCGCTTGGAAAGAGATAGAACTCTGGGGATGGCCTCATTGTGTTTGTCTTGTTGAGACACATCGACTGATATGCAACATGACCTTTTCCGGTCAGGTTGCAACCTTAACCTGAGGTCAAATTTTCAAGTTGACCTTTCAAGGTCAAATTATAGTTCATTCGACGCGTCCCGGCGAGAGGAACACGATTCTGGCAATAGAAATGTCGTTTTTTTAAGTCGAAAGTTATTGTCGAAAAACACTTTCCGGAAAAGCATCTATTTTTGGAGTTTTTGCCCTATGGAGGCTAAACCGTTGACCTGAGGTCAATTTTGATAATGACCTTATCAAAAGAAGAGTTCAAAAGCTATCGGTTGCTTTTCCATGCGTTTTTCTAGCTATCATAGTTCCTGAGACAACGGCATGTTTTCTGAAAAAAAAATATAATGACAATTGGCAAATTTTGACCTTTGATGACCTCTGTTGACCCCAATATTCCTCTAAGATGAAAAATGGCTGAAATACTTTTAAACGTACGCATTGAGAGCTATCGACTGCTTTTTACCGCGTCTTTCTAGCCCTCTTAGTTTTTGAGTTAGAGGTGGGTGGTAACATATGCCTCCCCCCACTAGGGCGAAGTTGGCTGAGACCGCCACTGGGGCGCGGGTTAAGCTCGCACTCCGGGCCCGGTCTGGGAGGTTCACCCGTCACCCGTCAGCAGGTATCGACCCAGGACTGCCGGAAACGACGCGTCGTAGAGTCATACTGTCAAAGAGCAGTCACTATCACTGTCACTGGGCTGACTGTCACTGTCAGCATCACTGGGCGAACTGACCAGATAGATGGTTGTGTCGAGTGTCACAGTGTCACTATTACTCATGGACCATTGTCAATGTCGCCTAGACGACTGACGAGTTGACTGTAACCGCAACAGTCACCATCTCTAGCACTATCATCGATCCAACTAACGTACCCGGCCGGGAACCGCCAACGACTGAAGCACGGCAAGGTCCCGGCCGGGTAGCGAAAACATCTACTCGTCGCCGATAGTCAAATGGCTACAATCGCACAACACAACAGGAAGCGAGTAATGATAGGGTGAATGACGTCTCACAAATGGGTCACGCTTCATGCGGTAAAGCGTATTAATATGCGCATTCACGAAAGACATGGGGAGCGGGTATAAAACAACTCTTCGTCGCGACGGACTGGAAAGACCCCCCCCCCCCCCCATGTTAACCCCTGGCGTGTCCGTGGTCGAGACCGCCCATCTACAGTCCACACACTAGCCTCAGTGTGTGTTTGGGACGGGGATCGAGGCAGACTAGGTGGCGCCCTCCGCATTCATCTTTGATGTTGTGCGGCTTCCTTCCCTTCCCCCTCCCCTCCGTCACTAACCTCTGGTGTTTTGCGGCGTTCCCGTGACAAGCCACACATAGTTTCAGGGGTCAAGACAGAGGCGGCGCCCCCACTCTCGCTAACCTCTGACATTATGCGGCTCCCTTCCCCTCACTAACCTCTGGCGTCTCCGGTGTCGAGGCAGCTCCCTCCCCGGCGGTGGCTGGCAGCTGGTGCAGCACCTCTGCCACCTCCCTCTCCACCTCCTCGGCTGACTCGGGACCGATACTGAACCGGGGTCGGCGCTCCTCGTACTCCAACGCCTCCTGGTGGTCGACGGCGGAAACAGCGAGCGTCAGGGAGGCACAGACTCAGAGCACAGGCGACATGACAGTCCTACTACACAGTGATAGCTGCACACTGATAATGATCTCTGGCGTCTCCAAAGTAATTAACTATCCAAAGTAAATGAACTACGAACAACTTTTACAAAATACGAGTATACCTAAGCATTGAAACTACGATAGGCAAACAGCCCGGTGCATGTCCCGTTTCTGGGACCGCTATGCTCAATGTGTGCCTAGTAATCATACTGGGCCAGCTCGTCCTTTAGTGCGCAGCCCATCACCCACGATGGACCCTGAACTCGGTGTGTGGCTCACCTGCATCTCGTGCGCAATGGTCTCCTCCACGTTGGGCGCTATCTCCGGCACCTGGATCAGCTGCGGCGGGCCCGGTGGCGCCACCTGCACTCCGCCGGAGGCAGACGGTGCTGCCACCTGGGCCAGGTTCACCTGGCTGGCCATCATGGCCGACGAGCGCGAGCCGGGCCCCGTGAGCCGGCTGAACACGTCATCATCCGCCTTCGGCGAGCCGAAGTAGCTGCGCAGTGACGGCGCCGGCTGCTCCGCGCCGGGCTCCGGCTGCTGCGGACCCTCCGGTCCCGGCTGCTGCCCTGGTCCTGGCTGCTCAGCCATGCTGCAGATCAAGATTCTTCACTACAGACCTGGAACCAGGCCACAATGTTTGCTATGGTCTGGGCCCCATCTTTCAATGACTGGGCATTCCGCATGAAACCCTAGAGGTGGGAGGCATACTTTAAAGTGTAGGTAAGCATTTTGGCATTCTGCTACTTTCACAAAACATAGATACCTAGGTATCCAATGTTCTCCCTAAAAATTTGGATATGATACAGAAACTGATTGACAGCTTCAGCCTTCATTCTGCTGTGCAAAGGCAGACTACTGTGTGAGGTCAGAGTCTGACCTCTTTAAAAATTCACTTGGTTCTGGTGATACATCATGATAAATAAAGATAAGCATATCTTAAAATTAAAGGAAAAGCTGAAATTGGTGTTAAAATTTCTGTATTTGAGGGTCTTCAGACAAACATTCAGCTTGAACTGGTGCCAGGTGGTGCAAAATTCAAGCGGCAAAACAGCAGCTTAAAATTCCACAACTAGGGAGGTAATTGTGCAGCATGTGCAGCTTCATCATACTGTCTGGATATTGGATAATTAAAGACCTAAATAAGCATAATTCAAACAATTAATTGGGAATCATACTGTGTATGTTTTTTTCAAATGATACAATAACTATATTCAGTCAACCAAATGAAATAATGTTAGGTAGGTACAACATTACAAATCAAAAAGTCAATCCAGATCATGGTGATGGCGAGTGAGAACGCAAGACTATCTTGATGACTATCAAGACTATCTTGATGACTATCAAGACTCTCTTGATGACAGTGGCGGATCCAGGGGAGGGCAAAATGGGCATTTGCCCTCCCCAAAGCCGAATCGTGTGGGCAAGACTATCTTTTTGCCCCTCCCAAAGCATGTAGCGATGAGCAAATCTAATACGGCGTCGATGATTGAACCCCCTGAACTGAATGCATGCATAAGCATATGCAGTGTGGCCAATGGCCATGGTGTGGGGTAACACGGGGCAAAATGCCCAGTCCGGTAAGACGCCCACCACCCTATATTCGAAATTACCTAAGCAATCCACAGTTTTGTCATTTGTTGGGAGACTCATTGCTGTGGAGCGTTCCGCGTAAAAAACGGCGACGTGCCTAGCCGCCATTTTATACCTATTTTTTGCATATGTTCTGAAAATGTCACACCAAGGTCTCTCAAGGTCACGAAGTCACTAGCTGTACGTCAAGTGACATAACCTAGACAGTTCCAATGTTTCCCATAGCTAAACCGAGTGATGGATCGCTTTGAAACTTTCAGCAGTTAATAAGGGTAACAGTACCTATGTACAAAATGTTAGTCACATGATTTTTATATCGATGACCTAGGGCTAGGTCATTTTTGCGACCTCTCCACTATAAGTCAATAAGAGAAAATTGAAAGGCACCTTTTTGGGCAAACCTCCTGTCCGGTAGCTTAGTTGGTAAAGCAGTGGACTCCCGGTAGTGAGAGCCCGGGTTTGAGTCGCTCCGGCGCTCGATATTTGAGACTCCTGACGGGGATGGTCTGAGGTTGGTTGGAGCAGCCGCAGCCATTCAAAGTCAGGAGTGGGACAGGCCGTGTCCGGCTTCGAAGGGCACGTAAAACATTGGCATCGTTAAACGTTAAACTAAGGCCGCGTTCGATGTCTCCTCGGACGAAGAACATTCTACGCAGAATATTCTATTTTGCGTTCGATGAAGCACACAGTCGGACGACGAGACCGGCCATTTTGTGCGCCACTTACACAATGTGCGTCAGTTTCGAAAAAGGCCCAAGTTAACGTTTCCATGGAGACCGCGCATAAATTTCAACAACTTCTGCAAACAGCTGATGCGCCGCTTTTGAAATACGCGCCATCATTGCCTCTCTGCCCACCGTAGTACGCTCAAAAGATTCTGCGCGGACGGCAAAGATTCTACGTGACGTCACGTAGAATCTTTGCCGTCCGTGCGACATCGAACGGCATTTTGGGCCCGGACGGCATAGAATCTTCGTCTTCCGGGAGACATCGAACGCGGGGTAAATTCTCGTGTCACCCGGAATTACGCGATCGGACGGTAGGGGTCGGGCTCTACGCAACAAGCTCTGAGGGCTGTTCACGGGCCCTGTGTGCGGTCGGACCGCACACAGCCTCCAAGCTCCGCCCACTGCGTCCCTACGTCAGCCTTGCGTCACCGCACACAGCGATCGCTGTGGCCGGTCGGGACTGGCCACAGCGGACCGTCCACCGCACGCAGCCGTGACGTCAGAGCCGCCTACCCATCCCCTACCCCCACGCCTGCTGGACGCACCGCACACAGCGCACGCAGCAGTGTGCGGTGCCCGTGAACACCCCTCTGCTTAGCGTAGGTTCACTGTCCAGCTCCCGTCAATCCGCCCATTCAAACATTCGAGCTAAATTTATAAGAAACGTCACTCTTAAAGGGACCCTCCCACCTTCAAAAAAGTTAATGAATTGGCACGAAAGTGATGTCGCTCGGTTCAGAAAGAGCGAAAACGGATATCTACCAAATTTCATCGAAAAATATTCACCGGTTTTCAAGATATTAGACTTTTACTTTTGTTTACTTTTTGGGATCTCCGCTGTTCCTAGCGACTTTATTTGAGAGTGCGGCATTTGTTGCGCGCAAAGCAGCATATACCACCGCGTGCTACCAAACGTTTTAGTAAAAGATTTAAAAATCGTTAGATCTCCGCTGACGTCACAAATTCTAAGGGGGCATACCAATGCACTAGCCCCTTAGAATCCGAAAACTGCAAGTTTGAAATTCCATATCTCCGAATTAAAGCATTTGTCGATGTTGTGAGTGCCCAAACCGGTATTTGCAGGCCATGGCCACCAATTTGGCTATCTCAACTCAAAACTAATGTTAAGGTGGGAGTGTCCCTTTAACAATACCGAGTTACAACCTAAACAGCACACAGTGAACCGGAAAATAGCACCCGTGACCCCTCCTTATGTCCCTGAGATCATCTCAGGTCACGAAAGATATGCAATAGTTTGCAGCAATTCGCTAATAACTTCTGCTGGAGGCATTCTAGAGCAATAGAAACACCTTAGATGTGCTCAGCTTTACGATACGGATCGACTGATATGCAACACGACCTTTTCCGGTCAGGTCATGACTTGACCAAATGTCGAAGTTGTAAGTTCACTTTTTAAGATCAAATTATAACTCATTCGACGCGTCTTCGCGAGAGGAACACGATGCCGGTAAAAGTAAGATCGCACAAGGTTTGATTCAAAAGTTATCGCAGAAAATCCGTTCCCGTAAAAATAGTATATATTATGGCAGTTTCCCCTGGAGGCTAAACCGCTGATCTTAGGTCCAATCTGAGCGAATTATCCAGAAAGAGCAGTAACAGTGCTATCAAATTAGCTTTTCTGGGGCGCTCTAGCTCTATTCGTTTCCGAGTTATGTGCCAGTTCTTCAAAAATTGTCGAAACTGAAACTAAATATTATCGGGATTTGGCCTTTGATGGGCTCTGGTGATCTGACATCTGACCTGACCTTAACCTTCGCCCCAGTGGGGGGGGGGCATATGTTACCACCCTGTCGCGTATTTTGCGTGTAAATAAAAAACCGCGGCGCGTAGCGCCGCGCCGCTTGGGGTAGCTTTTGGTACATCAATTTTGGACAATGTGTGAAATTTTTGACCCCAGGTCATGTCAGGTCAGGTCACCAGGTCAAGTTAACTGACCAAGCCTAAAAAAAAGTTTGCAATCATGTCCAGCCTGCAGTGTTTGTCAGAAAGGTTTTAAACTTGGTGGATTGCATGCTGTTATGGGCGCCTACAATTTGTATATCTCTGATTTTTATATCCGTGACCTAAGGTCAGGTCAATGGTGTGACCTTTCCATTACAAGTCAATGGAGAAAAATGAAAATGCCTCTAGATCCGTGTGTACGCATCGGAACAGTCCAAATATTTCAGAATCACAATGATTTAGTGCACTCGTGATGACCAAGGTGTCATTTTTGCTGATAGTCTCTAGACAGGTCATCCGAGGTCACTTGAGGCTACAAACAGTTTTTTGCCAATAACTCGCGATTGGAAAGAGATAGAACGCTGGGGATGGTCTCATTGTGTTTGTCTTGTTGAGACACATCGACTAATATGCAACATGACCTTTTCCGGTAAGGTCATGACCTTGACCTGAGGTCAAATTTTCAAGTTGACCTTTCAAGGTCAAATTATAGTTCATTCGACGCGTCTCGGCGAGGGGAACACGATTCTGGCAATAGAAATGTCGTGGCTTTTTGTAGTCGAAAGTTATTACCGAAAAACACTTTTCGAAAAAACAGCTATTTTTGGAGTTTTTGCCCTCTGCAGGCTAAACCGTTGACCTGAGGTCAATATTGATAATGACCGTTTCAAAAGAAGAGTTCAAAAGCTATCGTTTGCTCTTCCATACGTTTTCCTAGCTACCATAGTTCCTGAGATAGCGGCATGTTTTCTGAAAAATATAATGACAATTGGCAAATTTTGACCTTTGATGACCTCTGGTGACCCCAATATTGCTCTAAGGTGAAAAATGATCGAAATACTTTCAAACGTACGCATTGAGAGCTATCGACTGCTTTTTACCGCGTCTTCCTAGCCCTCTTAGTTTTTGAGTTAGAGGTGGGTGGTAACATATGCCCCCCCTCACTAGGGCGAAGTTGGCTGAGACCGCCACTGGGGCGCGGGTTAAAAGTGACTGGGGTAATTTGGTCATTATGTTTGACACTCTTTCAAACGCCGCCTACCGCGTGTTGCTACGTGGCCCAGGAGCCGAGTTAGAAGGGATATGGGCGTTCAAACATCCCCCAGGGGCGTGAAAATCCAGGAGCCCCAGCGCGGCTGGGCACGGGTTAACATAAGACATTTTACACCATCTTACGGTAAGATGGTGTAGCTGGCGTTGTGAAGTAACTTGGTCACTGGCGGGTCGGGGTCGCCGATGGTCGGCTAAACTTTTGCCCTCCCCAAACGGATCGGCTGGATCCGCCCCTGCTTGATGACTATCAAGACTATCTTGAATCGATAGACTATCTTGAATTGCATAACTATCTTGAGCCAATTCATTTTGATTTTGCGAACAAGGATAGGTAAGTGACAAGTGAAGCATTTAAGTTTGAGTTACTAGAAAGAGAGGGCCCAGGAATAATTTAAATTTGGCTGATTTTAACTTCTAACACAAGTCTGTACTCACTAAAAAGATAAACCAATTCAAAATTTTAATTAATTGGAATTGTTGAATCTAACAGTTAGGCTCGAGCTGCAGTTCTAGGTTCCAACCTACCATTTACCAAATTTCCAAATTAGAATTCTGCCAGGATGAGGAAGGAACACAAAAGCACGCAACAGAAGCAGCTTACTTTTGAACTGCTTTCAGCTTGAACTGTTGTTACTACTTACTATTACACTGCTTTATATCAATTATTGAAATTAGATATCTGGGCCCTGTTTCACCGGTGATAGCAGCACGCTGCTATCACGTTTCGCGAGCTGACGTCATGTCATGACGCCATACTGTTGACGTGATGGGCAGTTCCGGTGCACGATTGCCGCGACCTTGGCCGCGGCATTAAGTGACGTATGAGCCTAAAAGTAAGAGTTTACGCAGTCATGATAGTATATTTATTTTTAATATATATTTTTTTAATATGATGTTGTGACGTATTGTAATTTGTAGTGTCCTGAGACGTGCTGTCATCTAACGGCAGAAAAGCGAACTCGTGGTTGACGGCAAGTGAGGGCGCGGCAGCCGGAGGGTTGTAGAGTTAGACACCCGAGCTAGGGTTGGTCAGTGCTGTATAATATCTGACATTACCTACTGAATACATATCATCGTCTTACGTTATCTGATATCTTAAGAACGTTACATGGTGTCAGAAGTTAACGTAACACAAAGGTGCCGACGATGCTGTCGAATCTTCGCCCACCGGCAGAGCTCGAGATTTCATCACCGCAATTAGCATCAAGATGGCGGACCTGGCGGCGTGAATGGGAGAATTACGCTGTGGCTGTCGAACTCGCTGGCAAGCCCCAGGCCGTCCAAGTGGCCGTTTTTCTCAACTGTGCAGGTGGTGAAGCACAAGAAGTCGCCTCTCATTTCTCTGGGTGGTCTGCAGAACAAGGGTTGGATGAGCTAGTGTCACGCTTCGAGGCGTTCTGTGTGCCCCGCCAGAATGTTGTCCGTGAACGGTACAATTTCTACACTCGCGGTCAGAAGCCAGACGAGTCGGTCAGCCAATATCTATCGGCCCTTCGATCTCTGGCAGCAACGTGTGATTTCCCAGACGGGGACAACATGCTAAGAGACAGAATAGGGGAGAGCGGGGCCAGTTGAACCACTTTTTATATATCGACATGCACAGCGAGATCTAGTTGTGATATCGAAAAATGCACAATGCCATGAAAAAATATGCTCTTTTGGCTTTATTTTAAGATATGTAAAATTATGTTTCAAACATATTTTGCTGCCAAACGCATGCTTATAAAACAGCTCTACGCCCGTTTCAAATGACCCCGATGCGAGGGTCAATTGAACCAGCCCATGGGGTCAATTGCACCTATCCTTAACAATGGGATGTTTTCCTCTTTAAGGCCACTTTCTTAAGGAGATATTTTGTCCGGTTTACTTTTCCAAATGCTACATTCAATAGGTCGTTGGAAAGCTAAAAGTGCAAAGTTCCTCATAATAGGTGACATAAAGTACATAGACTATGGTAAAATGGGCGGATGAGAAAAAATGAGA